GGCCTGGTTGATTCTCACAGGGTATGACGCAGCACGCTAACATTAAAGGGGAGATCCCTGGCACGCATCAATGTATGTCTGTGCTCTTCTCTCTACGTCCCGCTCGCTCTTTTACACCTTATGTGAAGGCTATGCTTCTCTCTCAAACGCTGCATAATAGCCTATGCTTCCCTTTCTTCGTTTTACTCACACACAATCTGTCGTGACTTAATCTCATCCATCCAGGCAGAAGTCTGCAGGTGCTCTAACACGGGGGGCTGACACTTCATGATCCTCCCTCAGCAATAGTACTCCTGCATCTATACTGCGGAGGTTTAACAACCCCCATCACTCACTCTCTGTAGAGACATACACACCATCCCTGCTTCAGTGCCCTTTTGTCCTTACCACAGATAGGGTATTTTCCTCCATGCTAGACTGGTCATCTTATCTGTGTAGAAATAGCCCCCCCCCAACAGGTCTAGTCTGTAGCTACAGGATACAGAACTAATGATGGCTCAGGATGACCTCCACAGTCCACACTAGTGGACAGGACAGACTTAGTAAGCATTTAAATGCATTCTTAAGATATGAGACCATCTTCTCTTTATCTCTTGATCTTAACTTGATTGTTAAATTCCCTATGGATTAAAACTTGCCTTGTAAAACAGGCCGAAAAACACTGACATACACAGGCAAAGACACACACTTAGACTGAAATTAATAATTCACCATTCAATCACTTCCATTGTGATTTTGGCATAGAGACTAGGAATATATGCATGAGGCGTCACATGACTGTGGTGCATGACTGGCTGAGTTATATAGGGCCATTTGAGGAAGTGGAAAATCCTAGTGTGGGGTAAGATTGGGAAGTCCACTCAATGTGTGTGTCTTGGTAGTTTGTATGATATGCTAGACACACTGATTCACACACTCAGAGTCCAGTCTTTGAAGAGCTAGATGAGTGAACTTTAATCCCTTGACACAGAAGTGTACTTGTCTGGTCTTATAGCAGCCACCTACCAAGCTAAGAAATCTCTGGTATGATGCAGGCAGAAGTTTCCCTTTGAAACAGATCTAGGATCAGCTTAATCTCCCTAAAGTCCCAACCTTTATGGGGGGAAAAAATATCAAGGCCAGGGGTAGGGAAAGTAGTCAGAGTGTAAAACCCAGACATGCTTCCAGGTTCTATGGACTCAGCCACATCATGACGTATGGAATCCTTTTAATCGAGGATACACTCCCATCACTGAGCGCTGCAGTGTTACAATGTAAATGATCCGTAGTAAGGAATGTCTGTCCTGTGAGGGTAACCAGTAATCAAACACAAAGCACCATTAGCCTAATAAAATTGTCTCCTTAAGCATAATCCGTCTCATAATGCAACTAGAGCGAGTGGTGGTTCCAAGTTGTTGCATAATCCTGCAAACCCAAAAGCTCATACTGAATTTCCTGTTTGAGTTTTTAAAATGTTACAAAACAGTGCTAATCTACTCAGTCAGTGCATCCCTAGTTGTCAAAATGGATTTACATATTTACCAACAACCACCTACAGGCTGAGATCCTAGGGGCTGGGAGTTGAAGTAGCCCATAAAATAACTAATAGGCCTATATAAAGGTTAAAAGTTTCTGGGTTACATTTCGGGCTGGAAGTGGAAGCAGTGATACAAGCTCTATGCTCACTGTTGTCCCGCAAGGAGAAAATGCCCCAAAGGGCAAGTCTAGGATCAAGTTCTCTGTTGTCAGTCCTAATATTGACCCAAAGAGCTGCAACTAAAACTGGTCCTGATATCAACACTTGGGGACAACCATCAGCTTTTTAACTAGCTGTTCTTTTGAACTCTTCTGTTCTTTCTTTGTTGTCAAGATAGAAGACACAAAGGGTGGATCTCATTCTCAAATAGTCCTGAGGCTTCCTTTCCCTTCCTTGTCTCGTCTCCTTCTTTTGATAAATGCACTGTTGGTTAAGGGCTGTAAGTAAGCATTTCACTGTAATGTCTGCACCTGTTGTATTCGGCGCATGTGGCCAATAAAATTTGATTTGATTTGATTTGATACTGCACTAATCTATAGCAATAGACAGGTGGTAGAAAATCCCTCGGTGGGATTCCACATTATTGCTTTAACCTACCCTCACTTCTCAGAAAGGTGCAGCAGATTAAGAGGAGGAGAGGATGTGAACCCACATTAGACTATTGAGATTCACCCAAAGAGGTCCGGTCCTATGAGCAGACACTTCTGATGAGAAATTCAACATCCAAGTAAGGATGTGGTGGGGCCTTTCATTTTCTTACCTGACTCGTCTATCCCTGTCCATGTCACAGAAAATAACAACACGTTACATTGTAGCAAGTAAAACAATTATCCATTGATCAAATGAGAGACAAATCCATTACCTGCTGCGGCACCATTTTTACGTATTTTTGCGGAATAACACCTGACATTTGATAAGCTATCCTGCCAGATTTGCAATTTATTTTATGATGGTGATCGAAATCAACCCAATAATGCAAACATGTTTTATATATTAATTGACCGCAGCTGCAGCTAATCCATGTTATTTGTCATATTGTTCATTCAAATAGTCCTATACTTGAATGAAACACCACGACCATAAATTATTTTTAATGTATTTTCCAATTAATAAATTCAAATGATAAACAACATCAGACTAAGTGAAATAACATGGATAATTACGCAGTTTCATGGATAGCCATCGTTGGCTACATTGTTGGCGATTTAAAGCATAGGTCATCTGTCAAAATCGCTGGCTCTGCAAATTTTGATGCATTTCGAAAATTCATCAAAATGATGAACAATTACATAATATAGACATTGCATTTAATCTGATATGATGACAATAAAATGATAGTTACCTTCAGAAATGAAACGGGCCAACGTCTTTATCCTCTGCCTAGGGAAGATGAGTGGCGATCATGCGATAGCAATGATCAGCTGACTTCATTCACGCAGAGCTTTGCAAAGCGCAGAAACTCTGTGGCGAGACTCACAACCACTGCAACTGCTTCCATTGTGGCTCAATCCCACTGCGTTGTCAAAGACTATAGAGGGAAATACAAAATACTTTCTCTTGATATTCGTCTATAGCTTGACATTTAAAAAACCCCACCAACAATAGAACAGAACAGTTGATGAGCAGCATCATAGCAGTTTATTCAGCAATTAGACATGTTCTACGCATGAGGCTCGGATCAAGAAAATATGGAAGGCTCCACAATAGACGGAGGGCAGAAAAACAAACAGTAGAATTATGTTGTCTTTTTCGAGAAAATACCTTTGCGTTTGAGCCAAAATGGCGGTAGAACCATAGCATGTTCCTGTTGCGTGTAAAAAATATGGATTACACTGGAGATTTGCATGACGATAGTTTACAGCAATACTATGAATTGAAATTAAATATCAAAGTTGTGCCACAAATTATCAGAAATTGAATAATAAAAAACGTATGCAAAAATGACATTCAAAAATCTAACAAAAATGTCAAAGGTCAATCCATACTTCAAGAACAAACATCCCGAAATGTTTAAATATTTCAAACACAGAACTTGGTTTATAATAAAAACAGTAATATTTTTTGTCATTTAATCAACCTGACTAACAAAAATAACTGGATTAAAAATAATAATGTAGCTACATTGACGTTCTGCGCATGCGGGGTCAGAGTTGACAGTCTGCCGTGGAGGAGTGCGGTAGCTAAGCTAACAGCTAGCAACATACATGTGGAGGGTACAACGGGAGGCAACCGTAACTCTGTCAAAATTCCCCCAACCGAACCGTAAACTACTCAGAACTTCAGTCACATCGAATTTAAGGAATAACAGTCGTTTACAATGAAAGGGTGAGTAACGCCATTTAGAGACATGTCTGTGTTATCACGAGTAAAGTTTTTTCTTGTCTCTTTTTTTTTTATGGGGGGGGAGGTGGTTGCAATGCTACTGCTAGCTAAGCCCTTTGCGCGGTTAGGGGTTAAATAGTCTGCCAACGATGGCAATACAGTAATTTTCGTCTCGTTACTAGCCACCGTTTGTCATTGGCTAGCTAGTTAGCAAATAGCATCGTTAACCTGCTATTTGTGGCTAGTAGTGCGTGCATTCCCCATCAATTGAACCTTGTTTGAACAAAAGTCGGACAAGTTCGTAACGTGCCTGTTAGTTCGTGTAGCTAATTAGCTAACCTTAGGTGAATTTGATGTCCTACTTTGACGCTAGCTATATGTAATTACTACTAGGCTACTTTACGCCACTCAACTCCAAGCTTGTTCAACTAACTAATTAGCTAGCTACTTTACTTAACTAGTTATCCACGCGGCTAGGTAGCTAACGCTAGCTAGCTAACTTCAACATGGAACAAATTAGAACTGTCACTCCACCAAGGCTTCTTCTATCTGTGGTCACACTACCCAACGTTAACATAATGCTGACGTTTGTCAGTAGTTTTTTTCAATTATGTTTAACTAGTATCACTGGTTTCTGTGAAACAGCGCAACGTTTGTTCGCTAGCTAACTTATTAGGCAACCTAGCTAAATGATTCAATAACCCAATGATTCAACTGTACTGGTATGGGCGTGAGCATCAACCATAAAACAACGTGCTTTGGTCATCTTATGCAATTATCTGCCAAGTTGACAAAATATCAGTTCCCTCATTGATGCTTTGGAAACACTATAGATTCTGCATCTGTTACTCATGTAAGTAACACACAGCTAGCTAGTATAAGTGGAATGCATAGAATTAGAAATTGAATAGGATCTCTATGGCGGAATTACCCAATGTAGCAAACGTTTACTACTGTATGTAGCTAACTACTTGGGGCATTTCTAGCTCCATTTTAAAGTGTCAACAGGGGAAAGGCATCAGTGGACCAAATAAGACTGATGTGTAGATTCCATGTTGATGCATAATCAAACCACAATTTTTCAGGTTGATGTTTGCTTACTGCTTAACAAGTTCCCCTAACATGACACCATCTTGTCTGCAAAGTCCAATGGGGTCTCATGATGTGGTGTCTCAGGTTTTTTAATTCACAGAGCAGATGTCTTCGGTTTGAATATCTGCGATGTTGCCTGGTCTCTGCTGCCACTCTATTCTGCCTGTCTGACTGCTGGCGAACACGTGAGCAGCAGCTGTTGTGTCAGCATAGAGGTTTTAACATAAGGAGCTGCCCTATAAATACCTCTGTGCGCTCCCCGGGGGAGGTCAATTGGAGGCAAACAGTCAAGACACGAAAACAAACTATGTGCCCAGCTGGTTGACCGTTCTGCTCTTGTTCCAGTAGCCGGATCGAGCTGGGGGATGTTACGCCCCACAACATTAAACAGTTGAAACGCCTCAACCAGGTCATCTTCCCTGTCAGCTACAACGACAAATTCTACAAGGACGTGCTCGAAGTGGGAGAGCTCGCCAAGCTAGGTAAGACGAGACAGGCTTTCCCAACCACATAGTCAGATGTTGTCTGATATTGACGCACTTGTTTTGATAGTGAACTAATGGTGTAGTATGAGGAAAAACTGCTGCATGGCACTGATGCAATACGCCTGACCTCTGACCGCTGTGTTTGCAGCATACTTCAATGACATTGCGGTGGGGGCAGTGTGCTGCAGAGTGGACCACTCTCAGAACCAGAAGAGACTGTACATCATGACACTGGGCTGCCTGGCACCCTACCGCAGATTGGGCATAGGTATGGCTCAATCTTTTATTGGTTTCATACACCAGCAATAGCCAGAGTCATGCCATATTTCCTTGTATCCTCTTATACTGTTTACACAGTATTAGTTCATGATCACCTGTGTGTATTGTATATTGTCCAACTCCTTATCTTCTGTCTTGTATTGTGACCAGGAACGAAGATGCTAAACCATGTGTTAAACATCTGCGACAAGGACGGCACCTTCGACAACATTTACCTGTAAGTCTATAATCTCAGTATTCTTAATGGCTTTCTCTCCTTGTGTCGTGTCCCTCCTCTGCATTGATGTGAAAGAAATGGACAAAGAAAATGCCTGGTATGGGCATACACCATATTGCTTAGCTCTCACCATTCCTATGTTTTCACATCAGTGCAGATCAAGGAGAGGAGGCCACCTTTTGAGATGCACCCTCAGTGTTCAGTATGAGAAATGTATGCACTCACTAACTGTAAGTCGCTCTGGAGAAGAGCGCCTGCTAAATGACAAAAAATGTTTAAAAAAATATTTAAAAAAATAAAAGTAAAATGTCACACCACACATCCCTTCATCCCTCACCTCTAATTCACACGCCTCCTTCTTTTACCTGACAGTCATGTGCAGATCAGCAACGAGTCGGCAATCGACTTCTACCAGAAGTTTGGCTTTGAGATCATTGAGACGAAAAAGAACTACTACAAGAGGATAGAGCCGGCAGACGCCCACGTGCTTCAGAAGAGCCTGCGCAGCCCATGTGCGCCCCCTGGGGGAGAGCTGCAGAAGGCAGAGTAGAGGCTGCAGCCTCCGGAAAAAGCATGGTGGTGCCCCGCCTCTCCCAAAAATGGAACTGTGACAGATGCCCATGGGTCGACACATTCACCACTTTCTTCAAAGGATGTTAAAAAGAGAGAAAACAAATTCAAAGTTTAAAAAACAAAACATGGCTGCGTTTTTATTTTGCAACAAAACAAACACATTCTGCATTTTATTTTATTTTAACTATTTTTCTTCATTTACAAATTTGAAAACAAAGGATTCAGAATCCAAAAGTGCTCCGAAAAGCTGCTGACTTAAGACAGTTTAGACATGGTGGGGGGTGTCTGTGTTTGCAAATCATACTGTTTGAGTTGTTTTAAATGCGGTTATAAAGGTAAGGGGACATATCTTTGCTGTTTGGACAAAAAAAACGATAGAACTGAATAGGGAAAATCTTTTACAGTAAGAGACTATCGTTGACAAAGGAAGTCCCCAACTGGCAACCATGGAGTGATGCTTCGAGTCGTCATGGTGACACATTTGGAACACTGAACTCCATCCCCTCGCCACCTGAGCCCAGGGACTTCTGGGAAGAGTTTTTACTGGTGGATGAGACTTACTGTTTCTTCTTCTGGCAATATGCAAAGTGTGAGCCTTGCGCTGTGATGCAATGCCCCCTATTGACGTCAAAGCTCTGATGCCAGTCCAGAGGGGGAAAGGAGCGCTCCACAGAGTGGGCATGAGGAAAGATGAACGGTTTCAAGTTGTGCGGAGATTTGGGGGAGTGGATTCCACTCTTTGTTTCTGAATGGTTTTGTTTCTCAACCCATCTATTTAATCCCCCCTTTAGATATTTTTATTTTCTTCAGCTCTTTTTTTTATTTTTTTATATTGATGCTGATTGGCTCAGGGCTTCTCCTGGGCTTGCCACATATGCTGTGAGAGTCCAGGAAACCTTCAGAGAGATCAGGGTGTGAGATGGGCAAAGGTGTATGAGATCACAGGAAAGAACTGGTTTCTTATGATGTGAATGTTTACGTTTTTGTCAAAGTACAAAGATGTGACAATGAACAAGATGTCCAGCAGGGATTGCTTGAGTACTTGGCAATTCAGGAACAGGAGGCAGGTCTCTGTTTTAAGGACTAGAGCAGTTCAATTGACTGGCTAAGATGGAGTTCTCTGCCTGGGTGGAGTGCATGAGTGAGATCATTGTGGATGCTTCTGTTTAGATTGGCAGTTTATAGTTAGCCTGAGTACTGTCTGGTACTGAGGCTAACCTTTATTGGCCCTTTTAGTAGGAACCCAGCCAACTAGATCTCTCCACATGCTGTATCTGTAACCTTTTTGTGCGCTTCACTCATGACCATCTGTTTAACATTGTGGGAAGGTTGCGTGTTGGTTTGTGAGTTTCCTCTGTCTGTAGGGCCCCTCACAACAGAACCAGAAGCCCAGGAGAAACCTTCCCCACTGCATGCTGGGAGAGTACTGCCCTCTCCACTAGGAAAAGCATGTTTTGTTTTCTCCTTTTGAAAATGATATTTTCTGGAGCTCTATATTGTAAGACTTTTTAACCTCTGAATAAAATAAATACTATTTGCATTGTGGGTTCATTATTTCTATTTCATTATGTAAATCCGACTCTGATATGGATCAGTGAAAACAGCAATGTGTCGATGTATATCCTTCATAGTTCACAATGCAGGAGCAGAGAACTAGAAGTAGAGGAGACTCGGCATAGACTGCTTATTATCCCTGAGGGGCAATTTACTCAATAGCAGGAAGTAAAACAATATATACATACGAACGACATGACGGGGTATGAAAAATACAATATTACACAATATCATATCTGACTGCTAAATTTGTGTACAGCTTGATCCGTCAATCATTCAAATCACATTTCACGACTACGTTCCAGTAACCATTTTGATTGGATCCTAGCTCGAATCTCTTGATTCTGATCGGTCGTTTCTGTTTACTTACGCCCCTTTCTCCTTACCTCTTGCATTTGGGTTAGGTTGTGAGAGGAGTTTATTGCCAGGGAAAACCAAAGTTTTGACAGGAACGAAGTCCCATAATGGGGAAGCTACAGGTAATTTGCTAGCTTATTAATTTCACATTAATTTCCCAACTTTTCCAGGCGGTCTTTTGATTGCATTGTTTTGTTCAGCCAGTCCAGCTAGCAAGCTTGACATGTACCCCCTAGCTACAGTGCTAGGCTAGCTAGATGGCTAGTGAGCTAACATATCTAGCTGGCTGGGTGGCAGTTTGTTTAGCTAGCACAATATGGTTATACCATCATGTACTGTACATGTGAGTGTGAAGCTGTGTTTTATGTCATTGTCGTTTAAATCCACACTTCCAAAAGAGGGCTTATCTTCTGCGAAACTTCTCCAACACCAGGATAGCAGTGCTAACGAGCTAGCTACGTAGTTCTCTGCCCCCTACTACGTAACTAGTTAGCTACTTAGCTAGAAAGTATAGGTTCAAAATGGGGATGTTTGTGGGTCAACTCATTTTTTGCCAACATTTCGCTTGTTTTCCAATATTAGAACGCTATCTATTGCCACCAATATATTTAATTCAGAACAATTTGTCAAATAATATTAATTAATTTCAGCTAACAAACTGGGATAACCGATTCACACAGTGTTGGACTAAGCTCATTGTTTACATGTAACTTGGCAAAGGTCTGCGCATCTCGTCCCATATTATTGTGATGAATAGAGGCAGCACAGTGTTATTCAGAATAAACACAGCTAGTTCGTGGATACAGTGATTATACACAGAATAACAACAATATAAATGTGTTTAGTGACAAAGCTGTGTGTGTGGCTAAAGTCTGACGTCACAGATTAGTTACGATAAACATGAGGCTACTTGAATTTGGAAGATCTGTTGTTGCTGAACAGCCTTGTCATTTATGATCTGTTACGTATTTGTAATCAACAATGTTTTTTCTATTGTCTAGTCATCATACCTCCTCACTCATTGGTCTCTTATGACTGTCTGTGTTTGGGTTGCAGGTCGGCCAGGGAAGGGATTTAATGTTTGGCCTGCGAGCGTGGTGACCAGTGCCTATTAAACAGGCAGTAGAGTAGGCCAGGATGCCAGAGATGACAGAAAACCAGACTCCTGGCCATAAACCACGGTAAGGACAAATCACTGATTCATCTGACCATTGTTATGTCTATGGGAAGGATCCCTTGGAGTACGTACTGTCAGCGCTTTACCACAGAAACGCATGTATTCTTCTGCATTGATATGGATATAGTTTTCAGACACACAACATTGACTAACCTCTTTATCAATTTTCTCTTGTAGGAAGAAGAAAAACAAGGAATCTCACAATGCAGGTGAGATGTTTTAGTGTTTTTCTGTAATTTCGCAGCATTTCGTGGGAGTGACTCGCTAAGGTTTTGTTTTCGTCCTTTAGTTGAGAGACAGCGAAAAGAGAAGATCAACGCTGGAATTAACCGTATTGGGGATCTTCTACCCTGTTCCCAGGCACTGAAGCAGGTAGGCCTAATCCATAAACACACACAGTCACACACACACACATACCTTAGTGTGTTTTTGGATCGAACCATAGAACTTACAGGCTTGGTTTGTTTTTGAAGGTGTGGTATTTATCCTTTGGTCTGAGGCTATTAGTTGGTCTTGTCTTTGATGCTCCTGTCGATATCCTGCTGTCTGTTTTGACTTGTTTGTCTACATTCTGAAATCCTCACTGTCTGTCTTTAGAGTAAGAACATGATCCTGGACCAGGCCTACCGTTACATAACTGAGCTGCAGAAACAAAATGACGCCATGCTTCTCGAGGGAGGAGACCTAATACAAGGTGAGATTGTGTTTTTGTGACATTTACAAGTATGTTTTGACAGTGCAGAAGTATTTAATTCCTTTGAGTGTGTTTTCCTATTTGTTTGCTTGCATTTTACAGTGTTTGTGTGTACGTGTCTGTCAGTCTTGTCTGTCTGTGTTTATGTTTGAGAGTCCTGTGTTGATAACCACTAATCCTTGTTGTCTCCTATCCCTGCAGCTGAGGAGATCCGGCGGCTGCGGCATCAGATGGACGAGCTGCGGAAGGAGAGCGGCCATTACATCGAGCTGCTAAAAGCCCACGACATCAACTTCCTGGACGACCCCACCGTCCACTGGAAGGGCAAGTTGCGCTGTGCAAAGGTTGCCAAAGTAACGCCCACTCACCAGCTCCCCAAAAGAATTATTGTCTACTCCAGTGGGAACGTGATACGCCCAGCAGGAAAGGAACCTAGTCCAGTCTCCGATCTGGGGAAGCAACATGCTGAGGCTGTGATTGTTCAGTCATCTTGTGACATCACAGCAGGGGTAAGGGTGAACGGAGTTCTTCAGCACGTCAGCGTCCCTTCCTCTGCCCCTCCGCTCCTCCCTGGGGCAAGCCTTACCCCTACAGTGGCTACACCTGGCATCAGGCTGGTGGAACAGTGTGTAGCAGAGGTACCGTCAGCTCCCAAACTACCCCCCTCTGTGTCCTACTTCACCCTCCAGGGTCTCTGCCCTCTCCCGACGGTCACCACCGCCTTGCCCCAGCCTGCCACCCCAGCCCCTAGTCTCACCGTTGCAGCCAGTCTGGCCACCCAACTCCCTATCCAGCCTGTCCCCGGCCTTACAGCCCTTCCCCAGGTTATAACCACACAGAACACTGCCAGCAGGACTCTGAGCTATACGACTATCCCCAGCAGCTCAACCCTCCTCAGGGCCAGTGCAGCAGGGAGCACACAGACCACCTGGACTACCCTACAGCTGACTGGGAACACAGTGCAACCTGTCTGCCAGTCTCTCTCCACCCAGGAGACTAGCGCCACTGGGCAGCAGAGTGTCCAACAAGTGTCTGTATGCCCCATGGGCACTAAACCATCAGTTCAACCCATTCGTATTCAAATGAGGACACAGGTACCCATACAGCCCCAGGCACCCATCACTGCACATATCCAAGCCCAGCCCTCCATCCAGAGGACACCCCAGCCACAGCCAGCTATCCTGGCCCAGCACCAGCCCCAGGCAGTCATGGCCCTCAAGCCCCAAGGTGCCATCCTCCCTCAGTCAGCCATAATGCCCCAGCCTGCTGTGGTAGCCCACTCAGCTATGATGTCACAACCTCAACCTGCTGTACTACAACAGGCAACAGTCCTCCCCCATCCACAGACTGCCCTCATGAATCAACCCCAGCCCCACCCCCAGACAGCTGTGATGCCCCTCCTCCAGACCATGCAGGTATTGCAAGTAAACCCTGCAGGGACAACGGTTTCTGGGGTAACGGCTCCTCAGAACACTAACAACCCGAATGTTGTCATCCTACAGCAGACCAATCCCTGCTCAGCCCAGTCGGTTGTCAGGGAGGACTTAACCAATCAGACGCCTTGCCAGCACATCGTCATCATCCAGGCCTCCAATCAGCCTCCACCTGCGCCTCCTCAGAACCCTCAGGTTGGCATGGTGCCCACTACAGCACCTGTTGTGCCCAATCAGATTGTCGCAACCAGCTGCACAACTTCCACCACTGGGCAACAGATATTCGGGGGTAAACAGTTGGTCCACATTCTACCCCGTCCAGTCCCTCAAACCCAGGCCCCCCCGGTTCCCCCGACCCCTCAGACCATCACTGTGAATGGTCAGGTGTTTTCCCTGCAGCCCATGAAGACCTCGGACAAGTATGGCTCTCAAGGTGGCCAGAGCAGTCTCCAGCTGATCCAGCCCACCACCGTTGAGGAGCCCACCACCAACGTGGCTCTGCACACCCTGGGAGCCCTCAGCAGTCTCAACAAGAGCATCTCACAAGGCATGCCGCCGTGCATCTCCACCCAGAGTAACGTCCAGCTGACCCTTCCATCCAACTCTATAGTGCCACAACAGCCATCTCCTGTCACGGTTTCAGCAGCTCCACACAGTTCCCCTGTCAGGCAGATCCAGATCCCCAGTGTGTCTCCACCCAGACTAGGTCTGGCGGTGGGTACAGGGAAGGCCTTGCGGAGACAGCCTGGCACAGCCTCAATGCCCAGAGCTAAGAGGGCCACCACCAAGAGGACTAAGTTGGTTAGGAAGAAGGAGCCTAAACAGGGACGGCCTAGTCGTACTGTCACCATCGCAGCCAAGCCAGTGGCTGTAACAGGGGACAGTCAGGAACAAGAGGCCACTGTGGCTCAGGGAATCCCATCCTCTGCTGCTGGGACAATACAGCCAAAGCCTGGCCCTGTCAGCATCACAGCTAACACACCAACGGTTACTAGTAGTGAGGCTTCCACACAGAGCAGACCTGTGAGTAGTGTCGGCTCTCCACAGTCCACACCTAAAGATGGTAGTGTCAATGCTGCTACACAGAGTGGGCCAACTGTCTCCAGTGCATGCACCACACAGAGTAGAACCTCTGTGGCAAATGCCACTAGTGTCACTCCGTGTACATCAACAGTCGGTATCAGCTCCACACAGAGTCAACTCATTATCACTAGTGTTGTGAGTCTATCTACAGTCACCAATGTCACATGTGCAGCAGATAAGCCTACAGTCAGTGCTATTGTTTCTTCTCAGTGTAAACAACCTGCTGTCGCCCCTAGTGACAGCTCCACTCACCTTAGACCTACAGTCACACAGAACAGACAGGCTGTCACTACTACTGTCAACACTGTGCAAACTAGATCAGCTGCCATCAATGGCAGTTCTAGACAGAGCAGATCTACGGTGACCAGTGCTTGTTCCACAGAGACTAGATCTCCATCTACGGGTGTGACGTCTTCAGCAGCATGTCGACCCTCAGTCAGCACTGTAAGCTCAATAGAAAGTAGACCAGTGGTTTCTCTCCAGTCTGCTCAGCTCACTTCATCATCACCGGGTCAGACCAAGCCAGCCAACAGCCAGGAGTCTCAGCCTACAACCCAGCCCCAGTCCCAGCCCGTGGCTTTTCCCTCGGTCCCCTCCACTCCAACCCCCTGCTCCGGTGCCCTTTCTTTCTCCTCACCCTCTGTAACAGTCCCCATGACCATGCCATCAGAATACAGGAAGCGGGTCACCTGTAACAGACCATCGACCCAGCAAATGATCATGCCCACTTCCACCCCCAAACCATCCCATCCTGCTGAGCTGAGGGTGACAGCGGTGTCAGGCAGGGAGAAGGAGCCTCAGGGAGAGGCCCACCCCAGCGCAGCGATAGGGAGCGTGACGAGTGATGCTGCTCCCTCTAGAAAGGACTCCACTCTCCCACAGCAGGTCTACACACTAGACCACGAGGCCCTGGATCAGTCTCAGGCTCCCAACAGACAGACTGACTCGCCCATTTCTGGTGGCGGAAGGGGCTTCTCTGTGGCGTCCATGCTTCCCACTGGCCACAGTGTCAGTTCCTCGCAGAGTCATTTTGGACCGTTTACTTTTACCACAGAGCAGGCTGATATCCTGGCTATGTTGGAGCAGGACAGTCCTGGGAGGAGGGTGGGGGGCTGCACCGTGGAAAACCCCACCGGCTCCACAAACACCCCAACGCCTGCATGGGAACCCAACCCCAAGTCCCATCAAGCCTCCAACAGCAAAGAGAGGGGTGCTGGACAACAGACGAAGCTCACCAAGCAGATTGAGACACCAGTGGCTAAACCCCCGTCACAGGTGTCTGTTAGGGGCCAGGCTGGAGAGGTAGCAGGCAGTGGACCCAGCGGAGCCAGACATCCACAGAACATTTCCTACTCCCAGTCCCACTCTCAACCCCAGTCCCAGTCCCAAACCCAGAACCAGGCCCAGTCTGGTACTGCTGGAACCCTTAGTGTCAACAACCTGATCCGGCCCAGCTCCCGTCAGCAGCAGGCCTACCCAGGCTCCCCCAATCTGGCTGGGCAGCAGGGCTCAGTCCCATCCCCTGCGGGGAACTCAGCCCATGTCTCCCAGCCCTCCACCCCCGGCCTTCCACCCTGCTCGGGCTCAGTCCAGCTGAATGAATACACCCCCCTGAAGAGTGCCCTGATGAGGCCCCAGGTGGGGGTGGGTGAGCCACGACACATCAAGGACGTGTCTAAGCGGCCAGCCCAGGACGATGTGATGCTGTCCAGCAGTAACAAGCGACACAAGGCCTGCCCATCGGCCTCCAACGTGGGCTGCATGGAGGTCAAACCCCTGGACCACAGCCAGATGATGGTACCCCAGCTTCCCCCTACCGCCTCATCCATCATGACCAGGATCAACCCTGAAGGAGTTGGCACCCTGTTCTCAGGCAATACCTTCATGAGTACGGTGCTCAGACCCACCGAGAGCCACTGTACCCCCCAGATGCCCGCACAGGAACACAACCAACCAGGTGTGCTCCACCTGCCACAGGGCCACCCCCAGCATGGTGCACCCCAGCTGGGCCAACACCTAGGGGGGAACCCCTACCTGAAGCAGCAGCAGCAGCAACAACAGGAGCACCAGAGGCACCACCTGTACCAGCTCCAGCACCACCTGACCCAGCCTGACCCTGCACAGCTCCACAGCCTCCACCAGAGGTCGCTGCAGCAGGAGCAGCACGTCCAGAAGAAGCGGGGGCTGGTTGGAGGGGGTCATGGCGGCCCTCCTGTGGGCCTGCAACAGAAACACCACCTGGAGAAGACTGGCGTTCAGCAGCAGCAGCAGCATCATCAACAGTCACAACAATCACACCAACAACAACACCAACAACAGTCTCAACAACAGCACCAACAGCAAACACACCAACAGCAGCAGCACCAACAACAGTCACAACATCAACAGTCTCATCAACAACAGCACCAACAGCAAACACAACAGCAACACCAACAAGCCCAGTCACAGCAACATCATCAACAACAACACCCTCAACAGCAGAGTTCCCACTCCAGACACCAGCACCTCCAGCAGCAACAGATCCAGCAGCAGCAACAACAGCAACAGCACTTTGGGTCGCGGCACCAGGAGAAGAGCTGTGAGGCCCAGCCAGGACCAGCAGGACCCAGAGCTCACCACAGCAGCCACCTGGCCCAGCAGGAGCACCTCAAGGTACAGGAACTACTGAGTCTGTCTTGAATGATAAGGCCAGAGGGGTTGTGGTATATTTAAGCAATAAAGCCTGAGGAGGTGTGGTATATGGCCAATATACCACGGCTAAGGGCTGTATCCAGGCACTCTGCGTTGTGTCGTGCTTAAGAACAGCCCTTAGGCATGATATATTGGCCATATACCACAAACCCCTGAGGTGCCTTATTGCTATTATAAACTGGTTACAAACATTTAAAAAACGGAAAACAAGTATTTTTGCGTCATACCCGTGGTATATTTAAGCAATAAGGCCCGGGGGTGTGGTATATGGCCAGTTGCGTTGTTCCTAAGAACAGCCCTTAGCCGTGGTATATTGGCAATTTTACCACACATCCCGAAGTGCCTTATTGCTATTATAGACTGGTTACCAACGTAATTAGAGCAGTAAAAATAAATATCCGTCATACCCATGGTATACGATCTGATATACCACGGCTTTCAGCCAATCAGCATCCAGGACCCAAACTAGCCTGTTTATAATGTCTGAGATGCCACGACTTTCAGCCAATCAGCATTCAGGGCTCGAACCACCTAGTTTATAATGAAGCAATAAGGCACCAGGAGGTGTGGTATATGGCCAATATACCACGGCTAAGGGCTGTGTCGCACGACGCAACGCGGAGGTGCCTTATTGCTATTATAAACTGGTTACCAACGTAATTAGAGCTGGGTTGTAGGCTGAGACTCCTGGCTGTTGGCTGGCTTGGGCCTCTGATGTACCACGGCTGTCAGCCAATTAGCATTCAGGGCTCCAATCACCCAGTTTATAATATCAAATAATTTATTATCTCCTATCCCCTCCCTTCAGTCTGGTCAGGACCACAGTACCATGCAGAGGCTGATGAGCTCTAGGAACCTGGAGCAGCAGCTGACCTCCCAGCCCAGCAACCCTGCCTCCCGGCCCTCTGACCTGGGCTGTGCCCCCTCGCGCCAGGAACGCCACCGAGTCTCCAGCTACTCAGCAGAGGCCCTCATTGGGAAGAGCTCCTCCAGTGGTGAGCAGCAGCAACAGCAGCGCATGGGGCTCCATCTCCAGGCCACCCGCGGTACTACACAGGAGCAACCAGGCCAACGGGGCTACCTGGACACATCCAGAGTGAAGGGCAACATCGCACATAACCCTCAGAGCAGGCTGCCCCCAGACCACCCTGGTTCTGCAGACATCCAGAGGGTCTCTGAGTGTCCTCCGTTTAAAACGCTGAGCGGTGCTGGAGGGGGGCATCAACTGGGGGGCTTCGAGGTCCAGGTGTCCCGTGGCGGGGACATGACACCTAAATCAGGTCTCTCCTCTCAGAGAGGCCCTCAGGGGGGTTTCCGGATGGGACCGGGGCCTCCAGGGGATGGGCGACCCCGTGGAGGGTACAGTGGACTCCATTCTGGGTCACAGGGGGTGCAGATTGGTGCTCCAGGGCTTCCCCGGGACCAGGAGGGGTGTCAACAGAGCTTCATGCAGAGTCTCCTGGAGCAGACCAACCACCAGAGGGCAGTCCAGTGCTGTCCTCCGGTCAGTATGGAGTACGGCTGTGTGCCTGGCAGCTCTGCAGGGGACATGCAGGCTAAAGCATCCAGCCCCAGTGTTCCTCCCACACAGAAGGCCCCAGCTATGAGGCTTGGGGAGGGCAACAAGGGCCACATCCCTCAGGGTAGTGGGAACATGGGTGCCCACCCAGGGGTACGGGCAGGCCTCCCCCACCCTCCTACCCCCCACAGCAGCTCAGAGCCAGGCCGCACCTCTGCCCCCTCCAGACCCCTCACCGCAGTCAGCCAGCGCTCCCGCCACATCACCCAGGAGGCCCAGAGCGGGAAGCTGAGGCCTGGGGAGCGACCACGGTCAGGCAGCCTAAGACCTGGGAACCCGTTTGAGCCTGACATCCACCTGCTGGGTCGACCACAGTCAGGGGGTGAGGCGCGGCGCAGCAGTATTGTCCGCTTTATGGCAGACAGTGCCCAGGTCGCCGGGGACAACAACCTTGTGCCTGACCAACACCTGGCCCAGAACTTTGGCTTCCCCTTCATCCCGGAGGGAGGAATGAACCCCCCTCCTATCAACGCCAACTCTACCTTCATCCCTCCTGTCAGCCAGCCCAACTCCTCCCGCCCCTCGGCCCTGCTACCTGTAGAGCCCCAGAACACCTTACCCTCCTTCTACCCCTCCTACCCCCCCGCCGCCCACCCCAGTGACATACCCCTCCAGTACTTCTCCAACCAGATGTTCACCAGCCCCGGCACCGACAAGAGCAGCTCTGCCCCACTCAACAACCGCTTCGGGTCCATCCTGTCCCCCCCGCGCCCTGTAGGGTTCGCCCAGGCCAGCTTCCCCCTACTCTCAGACATGCCCCCTATGCCCATCAGCAACTCCTCTGGCATCACCCCACACCTGTCCAACTTCAGCCTCACCTCGCTGTTCCCGGAGATCGCCACAGCGATGCAGCCTGATGGTTCTGCCATGCCTATGTCCCCCCTGCTGTCCCTCTCCAACACTTCCTCTGCAGACTCGGGCAAACAGCCCAACCGCCCCGCCCACAACATCAGCCATATCCTGGGGCATGATGGGAGCTCTGCCGTGTAGGTGAGGGGACTTAAGGTGCCGAATGTTCTGTTTCCATTCAATTTCAGTGAGAAATGTGTTCAGTTGAATTACGTGGAGAAATGTCATGGCCAATTGAATTGACAGGAGTTCAACTCTTCTGTGTGGATTGAAGCGGTTGAAAGGGCTGCTGATCTGTTCTGTTTGTCAGCTGACTTGGTTGGTATCATGTTATTATTTATGGTTAGTGAACCTACTCTCACGTTCAAGAGTGTTCTATTTTGACTGCCTGGCAGTTCTATTGATACCCTAACATGGCATCGGATGCCCTAGTTACTAAAGTCATAGCATTTCACTGAACATTCCTATACATCTACGATGGGGGAAATAAAGCTTCTAAACCATATGGTTTGCAAATAGGTCCGACATGACGATGTACAGTGGCTTGCGAAATTATTCACCCCTCTTGGCATTTTTCCTATTTTGTTGCCTTACAACCTGGAATTAAAATGGATTTTTTTGGGGGGTTTGTATCATTTGATCTACACAACATGCCTACCACTTTTTAGATGCAAAATATTTTTTCTTGTGAAATAAACAAGACAAAAAAACAGAACTTGAGCATGCATAACTATTTTGGCCCTCTCTTGGCAGGTTTGTTCTGGTGCCATATTCTTTCCATTTGGATTTAATGGTGCTCTGTGGGATGTTCAAAGTTCCTGATATTTTTTTATAACCCCACCATGATCTGTTCTTCTCCACAACTTTGTCCCTGACCTGTTTGAAGAGCTCCTTGGTCTTCGTAGTGCTGCTTGCTTGGTGGTGTTGCAGACTCTGGGGCCTTTCAGAACAGGTGTATATATACTGAGATCATGTGACACTTAGATTGCACACAGGTGGACTTTATTTAACTAATTATGTGACTTCTGAAGGTAATTGGTTGCACCAGATCTTATTTAGGGGCTTCATAGCAAAGGGGGTGAATACATATGCACGCACCACTTTTCCGTTATTTTTTTTTGGGATTTCACTTCACCAATTTGGACTATTTTGTGTATGTCCATTACATGACATCCAAATACAAAAGCCATTTAAATTACAGGTTGTAATGCAACAAAATAGGAAAAACGGCAAGGGGGGGAATACTTTTGCAAGGCGCTGTATCTGCTTGTAACATGCTATGAAGAGTTTTGTACTTTAATTGACTGTGACATTAACATTACACAATTCTAAATGTAGTAACTTTAAATCATGGTGGCTGTATATAACCCATTTGATTAGAGCTATTTTGTACATACGTTTCTTATGAGAATTGTTAGTATAATATGTATGTATCTGTAAATAAATAAAGTTGATTTATTAACGTTTCTTAATTTATTGTAAAACTTGGGTTTGTTTCAGAAACAGGATGTCCTCCTCCAGATATCACTAGTTTCCCTTTGTCACGGTACTGTATGTGCCTTCAGTTGAGTGAGGGACAAATCAAGGCAAGCCATCTGAAATGGCTGCTTGCAAGAATCTTTGATTACACCTGCTATATTTCAATTCCCTACAAACCATTTAACAGGGTTAAAGATTAAACACAAAAACAAAGGTGATTTCATTATAAGCTTTATTTACATGCAATAGTGCTCCAGCCTGTGTAACCATGACAACGGCTCCACACAAAGATGGGTTACAGATTCAGGAACTCCTTCATTTTGATCTCAGATGCCTCACGGGGAAGGCTAATACTGATGCACCCGGGGAAGGCTAATACTGATGCACCCGTCAAAGATCCCCTCACAAGGCACAGTCCTTTGGAATAGTGACCAGCAGAAACAGTAAACAGACTGTCATTTCAGAAGTTATTTCAGTCTAAAATTTAAATCAGCTTATGTGTGACTAGGTAACAAAACTTCCAGAATCTTTCCCATTCAGTGATAAAAAAATAAAAATAAATTCAGGCTCCTAAAAATAAATAACTATACAATATATCTCTTTGTACTCTAAACTACTGAAGGCAGAATAATTTTAAGTTGCATACATTTGTTAATACTTTTAATGATGAAAAATGCATAATATTTGTTATTTCTATACGAAACGGCGGACCCTTGTACCTTAAATCGCACCATTATGACAACACTGAACAGAATAGAAGAGGGAGTATATACAACACAACATCAAAACCAATTGATACATGAGGGGGGGGTCCAAAATGCATTATCATTGAACATATTCAGGTAGTGTCCCCTCCAAATGCTTGCTCTCCATTCATCTCTACTGAGCAGCACAACCCTGTCCATTGGTCTTTTCTTTTTTTTTGCTGACATGCGGCTATCAGGATAGTATAATAACCAGATGTCTGTTTGAGTCGTAAATAAGGGGAACATAGGAGTTCTACAGGGAATGGCCTAAAGCAGACAGGTAGATGTGCTGCTGGTGCCTAGTCAGAGAAACTGTGAAACGGCAGTCAGATGAAACCTTCAACAGAATGCGCTGACAGACTTAAATCAATCAGAATGCGCTGACAGACTTAAATCAGCACCAGGATTGGAATCACATCTCAGATACTCCCCCTCCTTCCTCAAGGTATGCAGACATGAATATACAATCACAGATCTGTCTTAACACAGAGCAGGATTACAACATAACAGAAACTCAGTTTGTCCTGTTTTTAGCGACAGGACATACAGATAAGAGTATTTTTCAATATGAACATATCCTTATATACAGCATAAAACAACATTTATGTACAAACACATAAATATATAAATATCTGTGATACAAAAATAAATACTTTTTTGTTTTATGTTTTTCTGAGAGAGTTTTTCAAGCGTCTGATGTCCCTTTTTCTCCCGGCGGTGTTTCACTCTGGAGCTGAAGTGCATCTTGGGATTCTGGCGTTGTAGCTGTTGATGTTGTCGCCGTGGAGTTCTCCTCCTCCAGTGATAGCAGAGGAGAGGGAGAGCAGGGTAGGAGGTCTACACAGACAGAGGGGAAGAAAATACGTGGTTATTTAAAGTTATTTGACATCTGCAGTGGGCATACACACATTCATAGCTGAAGTGTGAGGTGAATGCATACGTTTTCATAATGTTAAAGTTTTGTGAGAACGGACACGTACCTAGATTGATGTCCCCATTGTAGAAATGGGCGTTCCCCGTCAGGTCCTGAGTGATGACTGGCTGTTCTGAGGTGTTGAGGAGTTGGAGGGTGGAGTCATCGGGCAGACAGCAGTCCTCTCCGTTTCCAGGCTCACTGAGAGAGAGAGATGTTTGGGTGAGAACACATATACACACACGTAATACCCACACACAGAGATGGACTGAATAACTGTCTGGATGACTGACTGGCTGAAATTGAGGATATGTGAGAACAGTACTGTACCTACCTGTTAGAGTAGTAGTAGACTGGGACGTGTCCGTTTGACATGGTCTGTGGCTGCAGCGTGTTACACTCCATATCACACTCCACATCCTCCTGCAATAGGAACAAGAGACATCGGTTATACTTCTGTTACACATGAAAAACAATGAATAAGGTGCCCAAAGCTAATACGCTCCCAACAGAGATTTATTGGGCTGATGCACAAGACATGACCTTGACAAACTTCCCAATGTTGATGGAATTCACCTGGTGTAGTCTTGGCAGGCGGTGTGTGGGGTAATGGTGTTTTCCATTGGGCGTGTACTCTCCGTTTGGGGGGTAGACGGCTTGCGGTGGGGGCAAGTGGGGGTCCAGCGGGCAGTGGCCAACCAGAGCCAGGCCCTGCAGGGGCACCATGGTATACTGGCATGAGGAGACAGGGTGCGCCACGGCTGGGAAACACAGGTCTGATGTTTGCTCTGGATAGAAGAAAACACAATCACTGTTGTAAGATATGGACAAGACTGACACACAACACAAATGTGGATATGTGGGAAGAATTAAGGGAATTATGAATTACTAGTCAATTCAAAATTACTGATTGATCAATTCAGATGGACAACTGTTCATCACACCAATTGTGATGACTAAGGGCTCTATTCAATCCGTTGCGCTGAAGACCCGCTTTATAGCTCCATTGACAATTAAAGGCAAAGTTCCCGCGGTCGCGGAGACTACATTCACGGTAAACGCTGCATATGTCGGCTCAATCGGAAATTACCTTTACATTTTAATGCTGATCTTCCGCAATACATCGGCGATACGGATTGAATCCAGCCCGAAATCGTAATTGATCCAACAACTACTACCATCATCATCATCATCATCATCATCATCATCCTCATCACTACTAACTCTGTTTGGCCCAGGCTCTCCACAGGCAGAAGGGGATGAAGGCTACAATGATGAAGACGAGGGCCCCCAGGACCACGCCCACTATTAGGTAGGGGAGGTCGCTGGGTCGGGGCACAGGCCCCCCGGGGTGCTCTGGTCTCTGGGACGACGTCTCCGACGGAGAGGGCCGCTGGTTCAGACGAGCTGGGGGGGAGAGAGGGGTTTGTTTACTTGATATAAAATCATTTATTACAGTCAGGCTATCAAATTAATTATATGAAAAATTATACTTTTGTTGTTTATTGGATAGGATAGCAAGAGAGAAAAGTTAGAGTTTTTGAAATTGCAGTGAGCTGGACTCAAACCCATGCACAACCAGAGGAGGCTGGTGGGAGGAGCTGTAGGAGGACAGGCTCATTGTAATGGCTGGAATGGAATGAATAGAACGGAGTCAAACGTGGTTTCCATATGTTTGATACCGTTCCATTTATACCATTCCAGTCATTACAATGAGCCCGTCCTCCTACAGCTCCTCCCACCAGCCTCCTCTGGCTGCAGCAGTATCCGTGTTCTGGAGGCAACGGCTTAGACCGCTGGACCACCCTAGGCCATGTATGGTGCTTTTTAACAAGCGTATTATAGTGTTCCTCCACCTCACCTCGACCCCCAAAATAAAAATATTAAAAAAAAACTTTACCAGCACTTGCACTTGACCCCCCCCCCTTCTAGCTCTGACTACTGACAGCTTTGTTATTGAGATTTTTTAAAATTTCTATGCCTGTGATATGTGGTTGTCCCATCTGGCTGTCTTAAGATGAATGCACTAACTGTAAGTCGCTCTGGATAAGAGCTTCTGCTAAATGACTAAAATGTAAATGTAAATGTAAGCGTTTGACCGAGATGACTATGAGATGTGCTTACCTTTAGTTTCTAAGATGACCACGTTGCCAAACTCGCTCTCTCCTCCCTCGTTGAAGCACTGCATCTTGATGTCGTAGGCCGTCTCAGGCTGCAGGTCAGTGATAGAGTGCCAGTAGCGGTCACCTTCCACCACGTCCTTCTTATAGTCACTGTCGTTGTCACTGTCTGTCGGACGGTAGAAGATGTAGAAACCATAGATAGGAGTGTTGTTGACAGCAGTGTACTGTGGAGAGAAAGAATATGAAACGTTTAATATTAGCAAAACAACAGTAACAAGCGTTATAGCCATACTTATATCAAGATAACACACACACACACACACACACACACACACACACACTGTTCCACTCACCGTCCATTTGAGAATGATGGTGGTCTCGTTGATGGCTTCATTATAAGTGATGTAGGGTCCGTCTACAGGGCGTTCGTTGGGCCTGCCGCCACCCACCACCGTGTAGGCCTTAGAGGGGGCACTGGGTGGGCTGGCGCCGATCACATTTACCGCCAACACGCGAAACTTATAGGACATTCCTACAGGGAAACAGAAAGCACACACGGGTTAAACTAACCAAACACCAGTTACAGTGCCTCTCTCTTTCTCCATCCACACTAATGGTTGCCATCTGGTCACCATGTTGATTACAGTCATTATTAAAATAGGTATGATTATGATGATGACTGATAGTGTAATGTCGATGATAATGAGAGTCATGCTAATGATGATGACGCCATTTGTCATAATGAGGAATAACATTATGATGGGAACGACGATGATGATGGTGATGAAGCTCACCTTTCTCCAGGCCAGTGATCTCCACAGACAGTCGTTGGGGGGGGATGTTAGTGACAGCCTCCTCCCACTCCCCTCCTCCCTTCCCCTTCAGCTTCTTAAACTCCACCCTGAACGACTGGATGGGGAAACCACGGTTACCGCGCGGGATCCATGTCACGTACGCCGATGTCTCAGTCGCCATGGAGATGGTGGGCTTATCAGGGGCCTCAGGAGCTGTGGAAAAGTGATAGGGGTTAAACGGACATCAAATCTAATATTGTTCCATATTAAGGCACACAAGGACAGACTCACTGTCAAAAACACAAAAGCCCAAACATAAGCAGACACAAGCAGGTACAGTAACAAACTTACAAAGACTTACTGTGAGCTCATCCTTGAGTGTTAAACGTGAAAGAGAGATCAAGACAGGTCACATGTTAGTACAGAGTAGAAAAGTGTGTGTGGGGGGGGTTAACAGTTAGTCAAACAGTTTTATAAAGGCTCTGTTAGGATGTTATAAAGAGATCTAACTGTGCTCCATCTAGGTAACAACCACACTGGTTAGTTAGAGTGACAGTAGGAGAGGGGGACGGGGACTTACGAGAGAGGCGAGGTGATGGTACTGGAGGAGTTTTAGGGAGCTCGTTCTGACCTCCTGGACCCCTACGACCTGTTGGCACAGAAAAACAAGAGTTTGCAAAAAGACACAAATACAGTGGTGATGAATATATTAATAAATTAATAGATTGATTCATAAATGTACCTTTGCCTGTCCTGAAGGTCATCATGGCAGGTTGTCCCAGGCCAGCACAGTTCTTAGCAGACATCTCCACCTCGTACAGACTGGCTGGCTGAAGCTTGGCCAGGGTCAGCTTGTGGAGAGACCCAGATATACTGCTGCTTGTCCACTCACCTGGAGGGTCCTCTATCTGTGTGTGTGTGTGTGTGTGTGTATGTGTGTGTGTGTGTGAGTGTGAGTGAGAGAGAGAGAGAGAGGAGGCATCAGTTAGTGTGTGAAGATGATGTGAGAATGTGTCGTGTCTTTAGTTGTCGACAAATATTAATCTACACTGAATGAGCGTAACATTGTGTGTAGAATAAATGTCTGTGTCCATGAGTTAACTAGCCTGTACCTTTCTGTACTTGACAATGTACTCCACCACAGGAGCCCCTCCATCGTGGCGAGGTTTCCAGGTCAGATCATAGAAGTCGGCCTTGACGGTCCTGGGCTGGCTGAGGATGACAGGGGCCTCTGCCACAGAGATCTGCCCAGTCAGCTCAGAGCAGTCCAGGGTCAGCACGCTACCCGTGGCCCATGGCTTTACTGGGGCCTGCTCCCGCAGCACCTTGTCTGGGCTCAGTGGACGCAGGATCGAGGGCAGCTTCCCTGACCGTGACGGAACACCGGTTGGCAAGGTGACCAGCCTGGCGGCGGCCTGCGAGCTGCCTACACCGTTCTCAGCCATGCACTGGTACAAGCCGTCGTCCTGCGGGCCCACATTGATGACACGCAGCACGCGGGCAGACAGGCGGTGGCGTGGTGACGAGGCCAGGGGGCAGGCGTTGTGGAGCCATACCACAGAGGGGGAGGGTTTACCTCTGGCCTGGCAGCTGAAGCCCACACTCTCCCCCCACCACACCTCCTGCTGCTGGAGCTCCATGGTCACCTGGGGAGGCTCTGCAGAGAGACAATGGAGAGGGAGGGGGGGGATAGAGAGAGAGAGAGAGAGAGAGAGAGTTAGTCTGTGTGTGTGTCAGTGAGCGAGTACACTAAGGTCATGTCTAGCATATAAGCTTGAGTAATGGCTGGTTGTGAGTGATGGTTGGTTGTGAGTAATGGCTGGATGTGAGTGATGGTTGGTTGAGTGGGAGGGAGCTTGATTAAGTATGTCTATATGGGTGTGCGTGCCAGCATGTGTGTGTGTGTGTGTGTGTGTGTGTGTGTCTGTGCCGTGTAGAGACAGGCCGGGCCATTCAGTTGATGGTTGGCTGGTCGTGAAGAGCTCATTAATGCTACAGCAGCACACACTTTAATTAGGGCCTGCTGCTGAGAGACGGGCCCACAACACACACTAAATCACTGTAAAAACAGTCATCCATAACCCAGTCCTGCTCAATCAAGTCATGCTATAAGAGCAGTCTCCACACACACTCTTAAATAACCCTTTATATATATATCCCAACAGGGCTCTGCCACACACACAGCGCCCACTATTCTCTCGCTCCACCAAATGTGAGTTAGTCTAATCATCAAGTCCATGACGCAGACAAAACTCTCCTCACGAAAATCCCCTAAAATGGAGCGACTCCATACGTTTCAAATCCTTTCAGAACTCTTAATATGTGTACCTATCATACAGGAGTGTTAGCACAGTGTTTCTCAAACCTCTCCTCGGGGACCCCAGCCGTTCCATGTATGTGATCTATTCCAGAGCTAGCACACCTGATTCAACTTCTCAACTAATCATCAAGCCCTTGAATAGGTGAATCAGGTGAGCTAGTTCAGAGTTACAACAAAATTGTGAAATGTCTGGCGGTCCCAGAGGAGAGGTTTGAAAACCACTGTTTTAGAGGAACAAAAACATACATGCATACATAACACCCCATCCTAATATCATCCTACTGAACCCATATCATCCTACTGAACCCATCCTAATATCATCCTACTGAACCCATATCATCCTACTGAACCCATCCTAGAAGCATCCTACTGAACCCATCCTAGTATCATCCTACTGAACCCATCCTAGTATCATCCTACTGAACCCATCCTAGTATCATCCTACTGAACCCATCCTAGTATCATCCTACTGAACCCATCCTAGTATCATCCTACTGAACCCATCCTAGTATCATCCTACTGAACCCATCCTAGTATCATCCTACTGAACCCATCCTAGAAACATCCTACTGAACCCATCCTAGAAGCATCCTACTGAACCCATCCTAGTATCATCCTACTGAACCCATCCTAGTATCATCCACATCATCCTACTGAACCCATATCATCCTACTGAACCCATATCATCCTACTGAACCATCTTAGTATCATCCTACTGAACCCATATCATCCTACTGAATCCATCCTAGTATCATCCTACTGAACCCATATCATCCTACTGAACCCATCCTACTGAACCCATCCTAGTATCATCCTACTGAACCCATATCATCCTACTGAACCCATCCTAGTATCATCCTACTGAACCCATATCATTCTACTGAACCCATATCATTCTACTGAACCCATATCATCCTACTGAACCATCTTAGTATCATCCTACTGAACCCATATCATCCTACTGAACCCATATCATCCTACTGAACCCATCCTAGTATCATCCTACTGAACCCATCCTAGTATCATCATACTGAACCCATATCATCCTACTGAACCATCTTAGTATCATCCTACTGAACCCATATCATCCTACTGAACCATCTTAGTATCATCCTACTGAACCATCTTAGTATCATCCTACTGAACCCATATCATCCTACTGAACCCATATCATCCTACTGAACCCATCCTAGTATCATCCTACTGAACCCATATCATCCTACTGAACCCATCCTAGTATCATTCTACTGAACCCATATCATCCTACTGAACCATCTTAGTATCATCCTACTGAACCATCTTAGTATCATCCTACTGAACCCATATCATCCTACTGAACCCATATCATCCTACTGAACCCATCTCATCCTACTGAACCCATCTCATCCTACTGAACCCATCTCATCCTACTGAACCCATCTCATCCTACTGAACCCATCCTAGTATCATCCTACTGAACCCATAAGTGAGGACCAAAGTTGGGGGATATATTTGTTCTTCTTCTTCACACACAGGTTGGCACTACTCACCGAACACCTGCACGTCGTACAGCACAGTAGCGGTGCTCTCTGATCCGATGCCATTGTCAGCGTGACACATGTACGTCCCTGAGTCGCCCTCGCCCGCCGCGTCAATCAGCAGGTTGCTGAGCAGGAAGCGCGTGTTGTTATGGAAACGCAGGTCCTGACCGTCCTTGGCCCATGTGACCTGCGGGGTGGGGATGCCGCTGGCCACACACTCCAGGACCAGACGCTGTCCCTTAGTGACCATGATGGTGCGAGACACTGGGGGGTAGATGATACGGGCCGCCTCCGACGTCGAACCTAGAGAGAGATGGAAGGAGGGAGCGAGGGGGGAACTGTGTTACGCAATGGATTGTTTTTCAATGAAGCGTCTCACTGGCCTTGTTATAATCTTAGAAACAAATCAAAATAGCTAATAAAATAACTCAATATGTCTGGGGGGGTTCTAAGATAACATATGGAATTGTTTTAAGATGGTCACACCAAGGATCATTCGAATTTTAAGACCCCTTAAGGTATCACATTTATTATTTATTTTTATTATTGGATGAAACATTTAATTTGGCATTACTGCTATTAGCCAAAAGAAACGCATTGATTAACAGATTCACTACATGGAACAGATAGTAAAAAAACGATCCCCTTATTTTAGGCACTAAACTATCCCTATACACACTTCCATCATATTTGTAAACAGGTACCGGGGACCTTCAGACAAATCTGAGGATTGTGGTCGTCCTACAGCAATGATCAAAATGACTTAGTCAATTAGAAATGTACAGAGGTAAGTGTGTGTGCTGTATCATGTTCATGATGAGTGTTTAGTCGTGGTCGGTCAGTGTTTGGTCATGATGAGTGTTTAGTCGTGGTCGGTCAGTGTTTGGTCATGATGAGTGTTTAGTCGTGGTCGGTCAGTGTTTGGTCATGATGAGTGTTTAGTCGTGGTCGGTCAGTGTTTGGTCATGATGAGTGTTTAGTCGTGGTCGGTCAGTGTTTGGTCATGATGAGTGTTTAGTCGTGGTCGGTCAGTGTTTGGTCATGATGAGTGTTTAGTCGTGGTCGGTCAGTGTTTGGTCATGATGAGTGTTTAGACGTGGTCGGTCAGTGTTTGGTCATGATGAGTGTTTAGTCGTGGTCGGTCAGTGTTTGGTCATGATGACTCACGGCGTATGCGCAGGCGGTCAGTGGAGGTGGAAGTCTTGACCTCCTGTGTGACAGGGTTGTAGGCAGCACACTTGTAAGGCCCCTCGTCGTCCAGAGTGGCGTTGGCTATCTGCAGGTTCCCTGATGGCATGATCAGGTAGTTCCCTGTTGACACAGACAGACGGGGGGTGGCTTTAATCATTAAGGCTGGGTTGGCACTGGCCATTACAAGTGATCCGAGAGACAATTATGTGGTTGTTATTCTTGGGCATGGACATATATATAATATAAATAGTTTTAAAGTCCCAAATCAGTTTTTTGGGAAAAATAGGAACTTGAGTAACCTGAGCAGGCTTAAGCATTTAGCCTACAACAGTCTCTTTCAACAGCAGAGTGCACTATCAGCACCAGCCACATGGTGGAGCCCTGGAGTTTTACTGAGAGCCAGCCAGTGAACTCTCCTCAATGTGGTTATCATTTCCCTCTCTCTGATAAGCCACGCAGCCCTACCTACAGCTCCTAGCCATCTATATACCAGCCACAGAGGAGTGGGCCTTTTTTCTCAAAGAACTCAAGAAATAAATGGTTGCAAAACAAACAAGAGTATTCCTATGTTTCAACATTCCCCAGATAGCGCTGCCTTATCTGCAGTTTTATGATGGGCCAGATAGCAGGATAGATACAGCATTCCAGTAATTCATGGAAAGAGATAGTAAAAGAGCGAGAGAGAGAGAGAAATTACTAATGAGAAGGACAGAGAGAGAAAGAGAGAGGGATAGAATGCAAACTAGAGAGGTAGAGAGAATAGGCCTGTAACAGAATGATAGATCCATACCTTTGGAGGTCTCGAGCCACTCCTGTTTGACACTGTAGCGGACCTGGGCCTTGGGCTGGCTCTCAGGGAGGTGACACTGGATCACAGCCGTGTTCCCCTCATCCACCTCAATGTCCTGCTGGTTGTCTTGCTCAAAGTCTCGCAGCTCTGAGGTACACAGAGAGAGAGGAAGGAGGAGGTCAGGAAAGACATTAACACACACAGATACACATAAACATGGACCAAAACACTCTCACCATTGAGCAGCTCTAGCCATGTCAGAGCACCACAGACCAACAGAAGCTCTCCTATAAACACAATTGCGCAATATACACACATTTGCTTCCTCAACCCAACCAGCCTGTGTAAGCTCTTCAGTCTGTAGTCCATAAATCTGGAACAGTATGACAACACAAGAACTACAGAATGGAAAGTTGGGAACTAGTAAAAATTGGAATTCCAATTCAAGGCAATATTCCAAAACAGAATGACCAGTCCGGTGGTCAAATCGGGCTTTACCATTCTAGACCGTTTGATTAATTCTCCTTCAATGAATAGAGCAGTGTGTCAGAGCAGAGCAGAGGGCCGACTGTGGGACAGAGACTGAGGGCCTGCCTGGTTAGTGGTTGGTTACTGTGGGACAGAGACTGAGGGCCTGCCTGGTTAGTGGTTGGTTACTGTGGGACAGAGACTGAGGGCCTGCCTGGTTAGTGGTTGGTTACTGTGGGACAGAGACTGAGGGCCTGCCTGGTTAGTGGTTGGTTACTGTGGGACAGAGACTGAGGGCCTGCCTGGTTAGTGGTTGGTTACTGTGGGACAGAGACTGAGGGCCTGCCTGGTTAGTGGTTGGTTACTGTGGGACAGAGACTGAGGGCCTGCCTGGTTAGTGGTTGGTTACTGTGGGACAGAGACTGAGGGCCTGCCTGGTTAGTGGTTGGTTACTGTGGGACAGAGACTGAGGGCCTGCCTGGTTAGTGGTTGGTTACTGTGGGACAGAGACTGAGGGCCTGCCTGGTTAGTGGTTGGTTACTGTGGGACAGAGACTGAGGGCCTGCCTGGTTAGTGGTTGGTTACTGTGGGAAACTGGAGAGGGATTACTGGAGGTCCATGTGCTCCCACTCTGTCATGCAGACACACAGTCTGCACAGAACAGACACTGGGCTGACCCCTGACCCCCCTCCGAGGGGGCCGCAGGGGCTGGACCAGGGTTTAGAGGTGAGAGGTGGCCTGCTTCTAGAGTTTCAGGGAAAGAACAACCAGCTTGGATTGGGAGGAAATAGCATTGCTAGACTTTAGAACACTGAGTGGGGGAGTAGAGTGAAGGGCATTGAAGTTTTGGGGGGAGAGAGGAGGGGGGGTGAGAGAGGAGAGGGGTAGAGAGAGAGCGAGAGGGAGTAGAGAGAAGAGGAGAGGGGGAGTAGAGAGAGAGAGGGGGGGAGTAGAGAGAGAGAGAGGGGTAGAGGCGAGTAGAGTAGAGAGAGGGGGAGGGGGAGTAGAGTGAGAGAGAGAGGGGAGTAGCGGAGAGTGGGGAAGAGAGCGAGAGGGAGGGAGAGAGGAGAGGGGGGTAGAGAGGAGGGGGGAGTAGAGAGAGAGGGGGGGAGAGAGAGAGGGGGTAGAGTAGGAGAGAGAGAGTAGAGGAGAGAGGGTGGGAGGTGAGGCAAGGAGAGGGGTGAGGAGAGCTAGAGAGAGGGGGTGGACAGAGAGATGAGGGAGGGGGAGTAGTGAGAGAGGGGTAGAGAGGAGAGAGGGGAGAGAGAGGGGGAGTAGGGAGGGAGAGAGAGGGGGGAGCAGAGAGAGAGAGGGAGGGGAGGAGAGACAGAGGGGAGAGAGAGAGGGAGGGAGGGAGAGAGAGAGAGAGGTGAGGAGCAGAAGAAGAGGGGGAGAGGAGAGAGCGAGGGGGGTTCGGGAGGCGAGAGGGGAAGAGAGATGAGAGGGGGCAGAGAAGAGAGAGAGAGGGGGGGAGGGGGGGGGCCAGAACGAGAGCGAGAGGGGGGAGAAGAGATGAGAGAGGGTGGGGAGGAGCAGAGAGAGAGGGGGAGGGAGAAGAGAGAGAGGGGGGAGGAGAGGGGGGGAGGAGCAGAGAGAGAGGGGGAGGGAGCAGAGAGAGGGGGGGAGGGAGCAGAGAGAGAGAGAGGGGGGGGAGGGAGCAGAGAGAGAGAGGGGGAGGGAGCAGAGAGAGAGAGGGGGAGGGAGCAGAGAGAGAGAGGGGGGAGGGAGCAGAGAGAGAGAGGGGGAGTAGAGAGAGCAAGCGGGGAGCAGAGAGAGTGAGGGGGTAGCAGAGAGCAAGGGGGAGTAGAGAGAGCGAGAGGGGTAGAGAGAGAGAGACAGACAAATGAGGTAGAGAAAGAACGTTTAAAAGGGAGTGAGAGAGATAAAGAGAGAACCCGAAAGAAGGAGGGGGGAAAGGGGGAACATTCAACATAACAAATGATCAGAGCTGTAGTGTATGCTAGAGGCAGGGAGTCCAGCAGTGAAATTAAACAAAAATACAACTCCCTAACCTAATTAAATGTCTACCACTCTCTGTTGATTTATTCTGTTTCACAAAGATGGCGGCACTCCATTATTTTCAGAGGTGCACAGCTGGTTGTTATTCTAGGACTGCTCGACTCTTTGGCAAAACAGACATAACCAAGGCACTCATACACAGTTAACTGACTAGACAACCAGATACTGTTATATACACTTCTAAGTATATGAACAGAGTTTAGTTACGGCCACAGTTAAGGCATGTACTAACGCAATAGTGATTCACTATAGATGCTGAGCATACACCTTTACTGTGGGTGACAGACAGTGTGGGATGTTTTTTCATATCTGATCTATTCCCCGTGCAGGCAGTGTGGGCTGTCTGGGGAAGTGTTAATGGGAGAGGGGAGCTACAGGGGTTGGCCTTGACAGGTGCCCCCCCCCCCCCCCCCCCCCACCCCACCCCACCCCACCTCCATCCGACCCCCTTCCAACCCCTATTCCAAGAGAGATGAGAAACACAAGACATGTCATGCTGGGTAGTGTGTGTGTGTGTGTGTGTGTGTGTGTGTGTGTGTGTGTGTGTGGGTGTGTGTGTGTGTGTCTGGAAGAGACACTGTGTGATGCTCCATTTGCTAAATCAATCAGGCCCTGTTTTTACAGCTACTCCCCCCACCTCTCCCAAAATCCTCCAACTACACCTTAAACCCCCTCCTCCCCACACCTCTACCCTTGCATTCTTCCACTGAAAAGCCCCCTATGTGCCTCTCAGGTAAGTGGCTGAAAGAAAAAAAAGACAAAGAAAGAGAAACAGACAGAATGTGTAAGTGACAGAGTATAGGAATACCAGTAGAACTACTATATAGGAATAACTGTAGAACAACTATATAGGAATACCAGTAGAACTACTATATAGGAATACCAGTAGAACTACTATATAGGAATAACTGTAGAACAACTATATAGGAATACCAGTAGAACTACTATATAGGAATACCAGTAGAACTACTATATAGGAATAACTGTAGAACAACTATATAGGAATACCAGTAGAACTACTATATAGGAATACCAGTAGAACTACTATATAGGAATAACTGTAGAACAACTATATAGGAATACCAGTAGAACTACTATATAGGAATAACTGTAGAACAACTATATTTGAATACCAGTAGAACTACTATATAGGAATACCAGTAGAACTACTATATAGGAATAACTGTAGAACAACTATATAGGAATACCAGTAGAACTACTATATAGGAATAACTGTAGAACAACTATATAGGAATACCAGTAGAACTACTATATAGGAATACCAGTAGAACTACTATATAGGAATAACTGTAGAACAACTATATAGGAATACCAGTAGAACTACTATATAGGAATAACTGTAGAACAACTATATAGGAATACCAGTAGAACTACTATATAGGAATAACTGTAGAACAACTATATAGGAATACCAGTAGAACTACTATATAGGAATACCAGTAGAACTACTATATAGGAATACCAGTAGAACTACTATATAGGAATAACTGTAGAACAACTATATAGGAATACCAGTAGAACTACTATATAGGAATAACTGTAGAACAACTATATAGGAATACCAGTAGAACTACTATATAGGAACAACTGTAGAACAACTATATAGGAATACCAGTAGAACTACTATATAGGAATAACTGTAGAACAACTATATAGGAATACCAGTAGAACTACTATATAGGAACAACTGTAGAACAACTATATAGGAATACCAGTAGAACTACTATATAGGAATAACTGTAGAACAACTATATAGGAATACCAGTAGAACTACTATATAGGAACAACTGTAGAACAACTATATAGGAATACCAGTAGAACTACTATATAGGAATAACTGTAGAACAACTATATAGGAATACCAGTAGAACTACTATATAGGAACAACTGTAGAACAACTATATAGGAATAACGTGTGTTGTTGCGTGACCCTAAGGTGTGTTGGTGCTCAGTGTCAGAGAGAATGTGTGTGAGTGCAGTGACAGCACAGTCATTTGTTTGGGTTAAGTGTGTTTGTTTGGGTTAAATGTGTTCACATGTATGTGTGTTTGTTTGGGTTAAGTGTGTTCACATGCATGTGTGTTTGGGTTAAGTGTGTTCACATGTATGTATGTTTGTTTGGGTTAAGTGTGTTCACATGCATGTGTGTCTGTTTGTATGGGATCCTGTTTGGGTGTGTTCATGTGTCTGTACTCCTCCTGTATATGTATGCAAGATTGTGTGTGTTCCCGCTTGCGCGTGCATGTGTACTGCTGTCCCTGTGTGAGTGGGATGCTGGTCTAGCAGGATTGATGGTATTTATAAAGCGGAGCTGGACTGCTCCAGGACCGCTTGGCAATGCCGGTTTAAATACTTTAAGACAGACTCTGCATACTTCATCTTTATGTACAGAGGTAGGGGGGCAGTAGGAACACTGTGTTACTGTTACAGACAGTTTATGTATGCATGTTTTTACCAATGTGTGTATTTGTGAGCAAGTACTTTACCGTGTGTGTGTGTGTGTGTAGATGTTTTATTTTATTTAACCTTGATTTAACTGAAAAATAAATAAAAGTAGGACAAAACACCACAACACTACATAAAGAGAGACCACAACACTACATATAGAGAGACACCACAACACTACATAGAGAGACACCACAACACTACATAAAGAGAGAGACGACAACACTACATAAAAGAGAGACACCACAACACTACATAGAGAGACACCATAACACTACAGAGAGACACCACAACAATACATAGAGACACCACAACATATAGAGAGACACCACAACATATAGAGAGACACCACAACACTACATAAAGAGACACTACAACACTACATAAAGAGACACCACAACACTACATAAAGAGACACTACAACACTACATAAAGAGACACTACATAAAGAGAGACACCACAACACTACATAAAGAGACACTACAACACTACATAAAGAGACACTACATATAGAGAGACACCACAACACTACATATAGAGAGACACCACAACACTACATATAGAGAGACACTACATATAGAGACACTACATATAGAGAGACACCACAACACTACAGAAAGAGAGACCACAACACTACATAAAGAGAGAGACCACAACACTACATATAGAGAGACACCACAACACTACATATAGAGAGACACCACAACACTACATATAGAGAGACACCACAACACTACACATAGAGAGAGACCACAACACTACATATAGAGAGACACCACAACACTACATATAGAGAGACACCACAACACTACATATAGAGAGACACCACAACACTACATATAGAGAGACACCACAACACTACATAAAGAGAGACACCACAACACTACATATAGAGAGACCCCAACACTACATAAAGAGAGAGACCACAACACTACATAGAGACACCGCAACACTACATGAAGAGACACTACATAAAGAGAGACCACAACACTACATAGAGAGACCACAACACTACATAAAGAGAGACGCCACAACACTACATAAAGAGTGAGACCACAACACTACATAAAGAGAGACACCACAACACTACATATAGAGAGACACCACAACACTACATAAAGAGAGACCTAAGACAACACAGCATGGCTGTGTGTTCTGGGGGCCTCTCCGTCTGTCTGTCTGTAAGCGGGCGGTTGGTTGTCTACAAAGGAATTCAAGCAGGGAGTTTTAAATAATGTGAAAACAGCTTGGTCCCAGTGGGAGAGAGCTCAGAAAGATTCTTCAGAATCAGATGGGGGGGGTGGGGGCAAACACACACTAGACCAGGAGGATAAGAGCTATGGACCGCAAGGATGGAGCCATGAGTTTTCCTTCCTACACATATGCGGTAATATACACACTCGAACAGTGCATACACACACACTCGAAGTGCATACACACACACACACTCGAACAGTGCATACACACACAGAGTGCACATACACAAAAAAAGACAGCGTCTGTCTGTCTGGCTCTACATTAACATATTTCGTTGTGACTCACACTATACACATTCATCAATGTTGCACGGAGGAAGTTTAAGCATGAAGTCCCACACACACAAATACATAGTCAAACACACAACTTAGCACATTCACACACACACACTGAGACACACACTGAGACACACACTGAGACACACACTGAGACACACACTGAGACACACACTGAGACACACACTGAGACACACACTGAGACACACACTGAGACAGCAGGAATGAGAAAGACAAAAGAGAAAATAACAGAGGGAATGAGGGAAAGTGAGAAGTGAGTGACAGAAAGAGGGGGGAAAGAGAATGAGAGGATGAAGAGAGAGAGAATGTGAGTAGGGGTGAGTGAGGTCGAGAGGGGGAGACTGGAGACTGTGACATCATGTCTCATCTTGTGAGGGGATCCTGTCTCATCTTGTGAGGGGATCCTGTCTCAACTGGCCTAAAAACACCTCCTGTTTCTCAACACAGCTCACACACACTCTAAAAACACTACACACACTAAAAACACTACACACACACTCTAAAAAACACTACACACACAAACTCTAAAAAACACTACACACACACACACACTCTAAAAAACACTACACACACAGTCACAAAACACGACACCCACTTACAAAACACCAAAGACAACCTCACATCCTCACAAAACATCACACACAGTTACAAACACAGGCCTAACACACCCTCACACACCCTCACACAACAAAGCATCTCCCTCTCTCTCTCTTATTGTTACCCTTTCTATATTCTTGTCAGTCTCTCAATCTCTCTCTCACACACCATTATTTTCCCCCTCACAAAAAAGCAGCCCCCTCTCCAAATTACAGAGCCATAACTCACCAGTCAGAGGAATGTGGTGTGGTGTGGTGGGGAGAGGGGAGGTGGGGAGCACTGAGGAATAAAAGACCTAGAGACTGTGTCCAAGATGTCCGACCTTTGTTTTCAACGTAATCTACACACGTTCGCATACGGCGATTCATGGACCGTCTATATCTGGGTTGCTTCCGGTTTACACGGCCCAACTTCACATGTGCAGCGACGACGTCATCACGTCATCCAAAAACATGGCAGACATTGGATGAATATAAAATGTTCATATCTTCGGCGGTGAGTCAGCAACAATTATTTGAATAATTCAATGGATGTTTTGTGCACAAAGGTGATGACTAAAGTGTCTTGTTAAGAATTTAAAAATCTGACTTCTCTATGTGGCCGTCTATGGAAATGGTCTTTCTGGGCCGGGCATCAGTTAAACTGCAGTACCAAAGCAAGACTGTAGGAGCAGTCGAAACCGTGCCTCTAGACCGGAACCCTGGCCCCTTGGTGGGGTGGTGGAGTCGTGGAGTCGTGGGGAGCTGGGGAGAAGAGTTGAGAGACAGGGAGGAGGCCCCATTCACAGCGACCCCAGGGTCCCCTTCCCTCCCCTCCCCTGGCCTGGCCCCACCACCTGGCTTCAGGGTCACATTACACTCCTCCAGGCAGACCCCCTCTCAGTCCCCTCACAGACACTACCACTTTTCTACCATTATAGTACCACAACATTACACTACTACACACCACTAGATGACCAAGCACTACACTACACTACACTACACTACACTACACACCACTAGATGACCAAGCACTACACTACACTACACTAGATGACCAAGCACTACAATACACACCACTAGATGACCAAGCACTACAATACACACCACTAGATGACCAAGCACTACACTACACACCACTAGATGACCAAGCACTACACTACACTAGATGACCAAGCACTACACTACACACCACTAGATGACCAAGCACTACACTACACTAGATGACCAAGCACTACACTACACTAGATGACCAAGCACTACACTACACTAGATGACCAAGCACTACACTACACACACCACTAGATGACCAAGCACTACACTACACTACACACCACTAGATGACCAAGCACTACACTACACTAGATGACCAAGCACTACACTACACTACACACCACTAGATGACCAAGCACTACACTACACACCACTAGATGACCAAGCACTACACTACACACCACTAGATGACCAAGCACTACACTAGATGACCAAGCACTACACACCACTAGATGACCAAGCACTACAATACACACCACTAGATGACCAAGCACTACACTACACACCACTAGATGACCAAGCACTACACTACACTACACACCACTAGATGACCAAGCACTACACTACACTAGATGACCAAGCACTACACTACACACCACTAGATGACCAATCACTACACTACACTAGATGACCAAGCACTACACTACACTAGATGACCAAGCACTACACTACACACCACTAGATGACCAATCACTACACTACACACACCACTAGATGACCAAGCACTACACTACACAGCTACACACCATTATGAATCACTTCTCCATACTATGGAGTCAGATGACACTACATCCCCTTCTCTGCCCTTACAAAGGGCCTGCTGGCTAACCTACAGTTACACACTTTGCAACACAATGTTCTTTCCTAAACAGTCTGTTTTATTATGACTGATAGTTTCTATGATACATTATATGCTCAGTGTGATAATTGAAATTGATGCTGTGTTTTTCCAAAAGGCCTAAAATGAAGAAGAAAGAAACATTTACAGAACACTACCAGACTCAAGTGTAATGTGTGTGTACCCATCCATGAACGGGTGTTGAAAACGTGTACAATTATTCACACAGTGGCGCAACCTAGGGATCAGATTATTGTTTATTCAATGTGTTATTGTTTATGTCGCTATTCAAATAAACCAGAAATGCATAAACAGCTACTCACTGGCAGCGGTGACGTTGGCGGGCACACTGGCCAGGCCCCCTGCTTTGGTGCTGGCCACACACTGGTACCTGCCCAGAGTGAGGTTGGTGAGGGCTGGGATGAGCAGCGTGCCAGGTTCCAGTACCACCCCCAGGTCCCCATCAGCCCCAGGAACCAGCTCGCGCCCGTTCAACCGCCAGCTGATGTTGGCCGAGGGGGGTCGGGCACTGCACCTCAGGGTCACGCTACCACCTAACTTCTGCACCACCGACAGAGGCTCCTCTGTGAACACTGGCACTTCATCTGGGAGAGGAGAGGGATGGGAGGGGGAAAAGGGAAGGATGGGGGAGAGAGGGGGGGGAAAGGGGGAGGGAAGAGAGAGGGGAGGGGAGGGAAAGGGGAGAGGAGAGGGATGGGAAAAGAGGGGGAGGGAATAGGAAAAAGAGAGGGAGGGGGGAAAGGGGAGCGAGAGGAGGGCGGGGAAAGGGGGGGAGGGGGGGAGGAGAGGGGGGAGGGGAAGGGGAAAGGAGAGAGGGCGGGAAATGGGGGGAGAGGGGGGAGGGGGGGGGGAAAGGGGAGAGGGGGCGGGAGGGGAGAGAGAGGGGGGAGGGGGAGGGAAAAGAGAGGAGAGGGAAGGGATGGGAGAGAGAGAGGGGGGGGGGTTTTTCGGGGAGGGAGGGAGGGAAGGGAGGGAGAGAGAGGGAGGGAGGGGAGGAGAGGGGAGGGTTTTGGGAGGGAGAGAGGGAGGGAGGGGAGAGGGGAGGGAGGGATGGGAGGGGAGAGGGAGGGTTTGGGAAAAGAGGGAGGGATGGGAAAAGGGAGGGGGGGGAGGGGGAGGGGGAGGGATGGGAGGAGAGGGGGGAAAGGGGGAGGGGGAGAGAGGGGGAGGAATGGGAAGAGGGGGGGGGGAGGAGAAGAGAGAGGGGGAGGGTTTGGGGGGGAAGAGGGAGGGAGGGGGAGGGGGGAAAAGGGGGAGGGGGAGGGGGGAAAAGGAGGGAGGGAGGGAGGAGGAGAGGGGGAAGGGGAGGGGAAAGGAGGGGAGGGGGGAGAGAGGGGGAAAGGGAGAGAGAGGGGGGGATGGGGAGAGGGGGAGGGATGGGAGGAGAGGGGGGGATAGGAGAGAGGGAGGGATGGGAAAGGAGGGGGAAATAGGAGAGAGAGGGAGGAAGGGGAGAAGAGGGAGGGAAGGGGAGAGAGGGAGGGAGGGGAGAGAGAGAGGAGGGGGATGGGAGAAGAGGGAGGGCGGAGATGGGAGGAGGGGAGAGAGGGGAGGGAGGGGAGAGGGGAGGATGGGAGAGAGAGGGAGGGATAGGAGGGGGAAGGGAAAGAGGGGGGGGGATAGGGAGAGGGAGGGATAGGAGAGAGGGGGGAAGGGAGAGAGGGGGGGAAGGAGGGAGGGGAGGGAGGAGAGAGAGGGGGGTGGGAGAGAGAGAGGGAGGGGTGGATGGGAGAGAGGAGGGAGGGAGGAGGGGAGAGAGGGAGGGAGGAGGGAGAGAGGAGGGGAGGGAAGGAGAGAGGGGAGAGGGATTGGGGAGGGGAGGAGGGAGGGATGGATGGGGAGGAGAGGGAGGGGAGGTGGGAGAGAGGGAGGGATGGAGGGGGAGGGAGGGAGGGAGGGAGGGAGAGAGGGGGAGGGAGGGATGGGAGAGAGAGGGAGGGATGGATGGGGGGAGAGGGAGGGATAGGAGAGAGGGAGAGAGGGAGGGGAGGGGGAGATGGAGGGATGGGAGAGAGAGGGAGGAATGGGAGAGAGGGGGGAGGAAGGGGAGAGAGGGAGGGATAGGAGAGAGAGGGAGGGATGGGAGAGAGAGGGAGGGATGGGAGAGAGGGGAGGTGGGATGAGAGAGAGGGAGGGATGGGAGTGAGGAGAGGGAGGGATGAGGAGAGGAGGGAGGGATAGGAGAGAGGGAGGGATAGGAGAGAGGGAGGGATAGGAGAGAGGGAGGGATAGGAGAGAGGGGGATAGGAGAGAGGGAGGATAGGAGAGAGAGGGAGGGATGGGAGAGAGAGAGGGAGGGATGGATGGGAGAGAGGGAGGGATGGATGGGAGAGAGGGAGGGATGGATGGGAGAGAGGGAGGGATAGGAGAGAGGGAGAGAGGGATGGGAGAGAGAGAGGGAGGGATGGATGGGAGAGAGGGAGGGATGGATGGGAGAGAGGGAGGGATGGATGGGAGAGAGGGAGGGATGGATGGGAGAGAGGGAGGGATGGATGGGAGAGAGGGAGGGATAGGAGAGAGGGAGAGAGGGATGGGAGAGAGATGGAGGGATGGGAGAGAGATGGAGGGATGGGAGAGAGATGGGGAGAGAGGGTGTGTTAAGTCACACTGCCATACACATATTTAAGACACAAACAAACTGTGAAGATAGCTTATTCTCCTTCTACCTACATTGGATTGAATTCTTACTTCTGATTTCTGCAAAACAACTTGGCGTAAACCTCCCATCATTAATAAGACATTAATTGGGATAGAGATACTAACATGTATGAGACAACAGGGATCTATGACAATTCCTGGTTCACTGTTGGGATGCTGTGACATGACCAGTGCTCTACTCACCAGTGGCACCATTTCCAGTGGCGCCGCCCTGTAGGCAGCACAGTAGCACTGCACCCAGAGCACACAGCACTCGTGCCCGTCGCTTTTTCATCCACGGAGTCCAGTCTAATGTTCCAGACATCTTCCATACACTACTCCCTGATAGAGAGAGAGAGAGAGAGGGTCAGATGTCATACAGATTCATGACACTCATAACAAACAATGTGAATCCACTCATTCCCCCACACACACACACACACTTTGTCACTAAACCAACAACCACTAACTATAATACCACTGACAAATCCCATGGCAACGTCATAAACAAACCTCCACATACAGTTACATATACATGCACCACACACACAGCGGAAATGTACACACACACACATTGGAAAAACACTCCGACACATACAAACACCCCACTGAAAGGTAGAGACCAGGTGAGGGTCCTGCTCACAGCAGAGGCCCAGCCCTCAGAAATACAACTCCAGCCCAGACACAAACAAACCCTTTATTTTCCATCAGCCCCCATCCCTGTCCTCCCGCACCCATCAGCCTCTCCCTTCATCATTCTGTGACTCTCCCCCAATTCAGGTGTAACTGATACAGGTAGAGGTCCAGGGAGAGGTCCAGGACACAGGGCCTGTATTCACCACCCAGCACAAAGAACAACTGACTACAGGGAGGAGAGGAAGGGGGAAATACTAGTAGCGCAGAAGTGTGTGTGTCTGTCTGTGTATGAGCGCATATGGATATGAGAGTGTAGATTGTGTGTAAGGGAGAAATAAGGCAAGAGAGAAAAAAGAGCGAGGGGGTCCGGTAATGGTCAGGTTATTAACAGTTAATGCAGAGCGGGTAGCTTTTCTCTCTCCCTCGTGGCTCTCTGCCAAGTTTCCCAAATTCTTCCCTGTCAGGTTAAACTAACAACTTCCCGTCAGGATGAGGAGGGTGGTCCACACAGCTCCCAGAATTGGGGGGTATGGGGAGAACTCTCTCTCCCTCTCTCTCCCTCCCTCCCTCTCCCTCCAAGAGTAGCGCACTCACACGCAGGGGCAGAGCTGAACAGAGGAGAGAGAGTGGTTGGTGGGCACAGGGTTCTAAGCAAAAAATCAGCTATAGTTCTTCACTATTACTAAATGTTGGAACCTTTCTCATATACAAACCAACTCTTCCATTCTCGATACATCTCTTACCCTTCTCTCTCTACCCAGAATCCCCTGGCCTTCTTTCCCTCCTCTCTTCCATCTAAATGGGCTGGATGGATCACAAGCTCTGTCTGGAACATACTGGAACATGTACTTTAACACCAAGTCTGGACACATCAAGAGCTTCCTACCAAACACACACACGCACACGCCGGGTCAAGACAACTAAAACTGGCTCTGGCTAACTAAGACTAAGATCATAACCAGATGGACATAGCTAGGCTACACAGTAACTGATGGATATAGCTAGGCTACACAGTAACTGATGGACATAGCTAGGCTACACAGTAACTGATGGACATAGCTAGGCTACACAGTAACTGATGGACATAGCTAGGCTACACAGTAACTGATGGATATAGCTAGGCTACACAGTAACTGATGGACATACAGTGAGGGAAAAAAGTATTTGATCCCCTGCTGACTTTGTACATTTGCCCACTGACAAATAAATGATTAGTCTATAATTTTAATGGTAGGTTTATTTGAACAGTGAGAGACAGAATAACAACAACAAAAACCAGAAAAACGCATGTCAAAAATGTTATAAATTGATTTGCATTTTAATGAGGGAAATAAGTATTTCACCCCCTCTCAGAAAGATTTCTGGCTCCCAGGTGTCTTTTATACAGGTAACGAGCTGAGATTAGGAGCACACTTAAAGGGAGTGCTCCTAATCTCAGTTTGTTACCTGTATAAATGTCCACAGAAGCAATCAATCAATCAGATTCCAAACTCTCCACCATGGCCAAGACCAAAGAGCTCTCCAAGGATGTCAGGGACAAGATTGTAGACCTACACAAGGCTGGAATGGGCTACAAGACCATCACCAAGCAGCTTGGTGAGAAGGTGACAACAGTTGGTGCAATTATTCGCAAATGGAAGAAACACAAAAGAACTGTCAATCCCCCTCGGCCTGGGGCTCCATGCAAGATCTCACCTCGTGGAGTTGCAATGATCATGAGAACAGTGAGGAATCAGCCCAGAACTACACGGGAGGATCTTGTCAATGATCTCAAGGCAGCTGGGACCATAGTCACCAAGAAAACAATTGGTAACACACTACGCCGTGAAGGACTGAAATCCTGCAGCGCCCGCAAGGTCCCCCTGCTCAAGAACACACATATACAGGGCCGTCTGAAGTTTGCCAATGAACATCTGAATGATTCAGAGGAGAACTGGGTGAAAGTGTTGTGGTCAGATGGATTTTTTTTTTGTTATTCTGTCTCTCACTGTTCAAATAAACCTACCATTAAAATTATAGACTGATCATGTCTTTGTCAGTGGGCAAACGTACAAAATCAGCAGGGGATCAAATACTTTTCCCCCTCACTGTAGCTAGGCTACACAGTAACTGATGGACATAGCTAGGCTACACAGTAACTGATGGACATAGCTAGGCTACACAGTAACTGATGGACATAGCTAGGCTACACAGTAACTGATGGACATAGCTAGGCTACACAGTAACTGGAAACAAATACAGTGTATACTAGCTATGGGATAAATAGTGAAGTGGGATAAATAGCAAAGTGGGACTAAAATAGTAGTGGTTCTAGGTACCACCAACCACTGTTACTACTAACCTAGAAGAGCCAGCACACGGCTAAGACTGTTGACTTCAGGAGAGAAGAGCAGCTGCCATGCGCGCGCGCACGCACGCACACACACACACACAGGACGGAAAGAGACACACCCGTCTCATCTAGTGAACCAACCACCTGTGGATCCCAACGGGGGAGAGCTACGAATCCTCAAAAACACACAGACAAAATAGGAAGTAGAAAGACACACACAGCAACAACATGTCCACTACAGACTAACAAAACTAACACACACACACACACACACTACTGTTTCACATGCTTTATCATGGCTTTACAAACACTCTTCTTATTTCATGAGAACCTCTCCCACATCAAGCCTCCCTAAACGCAGCCTCCTCTCTGGCTCTGTCTCTTCTAGATCCATTAATCAGACTGGATTTGCTTAGCAGATACCCTGCCTCGTGATGACAAGCTGGCCTCAACACAACTTTTTCCATCCATCCATTCCAGCAGAGACAGCGAGAGAGAAAGTCTCACACACACAGAGCAGAGGGAGGTTGATGAAGACCAGAGACACACAGAGAGACAGCTCCTCTGATTAAGGACAGAGACACACAGAGTATTTTTCTCCACTCATACAGGAGTAATAAAGGCCTAGATCAAATGTTGTAGAATTACTATTTTATTTATAAAAAATGTAATAAAATAAAATGCTTTATCAGGAGGTGCTGCAGCACCCTCAGCACCACTACTTCCTGTGGCTATGCTGCAGTAGTTTGTGTGTGTGTCTATACCCATGAGTTGTGAGTATGTGTGTGTGGTTGGGCTGGTCTATAATGTGTGTATCGGTATGCGTGTGTATGTGTACGACTGAGTATGGGCGTATGAGTATGTTGTTTGCTCTTGTATGAGATGGGGAGATGGCAAACAGTATGTATGAGTCTTGGATGTTGATGTATGTGGTTTAGTAGTATGACATGGTGAGAGGTATTAGGAGTAAGTTGATAAAGCCTCATTGTGACGCTGGTGCAGGCAGGGTTCCTTAGTTCCCCCCTATTGTCCCCCTGCCTCCCAGGATAAATTCATTTGACAAGCCTGCTAATTGGATGAAACAAGGCTGGAACCTCCTCCCTGAGCACTCACATTCCATCTGCTTTCTGGCATGGAGAGAGAGGACATAGGAGGGGTGGGAGAGAGGACATAGGAGGGGTGGGGGAGAGAGGACATAGGAGGGGTGGGGGAGAGAGGGAGAGGAGAGGGGGGTAGGGTAGGCAACTCCTTCTGAGGAGCTGAACTGTTGAATATGTATCACCCCCCTCCTCCTCTATCCCGCTCTTTCTACCCACCATTTTTCGTCCTTTACTACCCCCCCATCCAAACATCACAATGGCCCCCCTTTAGATAAACACATGCGGTGTCAAGTGTGAGGAGTACTGGGTTCAACTGCTCCGCTCGGGCCTGCCGGCCCACAATGCCGTGCTGCATAGCTGCCATGCGGGAGGCCGGTTGCCCCTGGCGACACTAACAGGCAGAACGCACCTTAATAGAGTGGAGAGTCATTGTGAAGCAGTGGGCCGGTGTGTGGACAAAGACCCCGCAGACCCCCAGAGAGAAAGGGGAGATGCTACTCTGAAGGGCCCCAGGAAGAGCTGATGATGGGGGCCGCTCAATGGAGGAGAGGAGAAGTGTGTGTGTGTGTGTCTGTGAGGGGGATCAATGACCAAGAGGTTTGATAGTAGTGTGGAGAGGTGAGTGGGGTGGTGGTGTGGTTCAATCTCTTAGATGGGTGAGGGTTGGGGGGGGTGAAGGGGCTGGAGAGGGGTTGACTGAGAAAGCAGAACAGGGTCCAAATTAATAGAGGGGATGTCAACTGGCAGGCGAGCAGGAGGATAGAGGGTCTTGTCAATGAGAGGGTGTGCGAGTGTGTGAGCGCGTGTGACAGCGTTGTTTGAATGTGTCCAACATATTTTCCCCTCTCTCAGTCAATCTGGTTGCTGGCCCTTTGGTCAGGCTGGGTGGAGAAGACAAGACGAGACTACATCACCCGCTACAGCTCTGCTCTCAAGTGGAAAATGGATCCATAGTAGTAAAGAATTTGAGATGAATTACTTAGCCCATTCCCTCAGCTGTTTACCAAAACAAGTGGCGGGCCTGCCATTTTGCTTTTGGTTTTCATCCCAGACTGTAGCTTTAACAGCATACACTGCACCTAAACAACCATAGCTACATTCAACAGGAAACAGTTACTCCCAGGTCCCCGTGCTATGGCTAGGGCTATACCTAGTGCATGCAGTTCTGAACACACGCACAGTCCTGGCCCTCTCATTGGCTAGTCCAGTACATGGGTTCTCTGACTTCAAACATTAACAGAATGTTCTGGAGAGTTCTCTCAGGGTTGTTGCCCCAACATTCTGGAGAGTTCTGGGTCGTGTTCCATGTGGTACAATGTTATAAAACGTTCAGATAGGTATTAGGTACATAGGACACACACAAGTCTATGTCATGTAGATTAGGGAATTAATATGTTAGCTGCTCTTTACAAGGCATTTCCATCAGAACGTTGTGCCCTCCTGAACATGCCCCTGGTGAGGTCTGAGGTTGGCAGATGATCCCGCTCCAGCAGGTGGAACCCAGCCTGCCACGCACCATTCATACCACTCTCTCTGAGCTGAGCACCCACAAACCCCATCTCAACATCTCCAGACATCAACCGCTCCAATGCCGCAGAAATTACACATCAAAAGCATAATCCAACGAGGTAGGGACCCCCCCACACCCTTCAAAGTATTAGTGAGCTACCCCCCCCCCCCCCCACAGCCCATCCACCCCATCATTCCATCCACGCTAACGAGCACCAGGCCATCTCGGGGATTAACGAGTGAGATCAAGCCAGGCCCGGAGGGGGCTCTAATCAATTAGGCACCACTGCATTTGCATATTTTATATAACGAGGCAGAATTAACTAGCCAACGCTAATTATGGTGCTCCGGCAGCATTCATAATGCCATGGCTAACTAACACATACCGCCACGCCCACATTCCTTCCTGCCCCTGACGGACGCTGGATGGATGTCTGCCTGTGTGTCCTCCCGGGCCATGGGAACTAGCACCACCTGACTGAGCCCTACCCACTACCCCCCTGGGCATGACTTCCTCTACAGACACACATAGTTAATAAGCATGCAACAGGTTGGGATGAGAGGATGAATGTCTTCATAAAGACTTTACTAGGCCGATATGTTAAAGGGGCAATCTGCTGTTCAAACAACAATGAAGTAATACCCTGCCACTGTTTTGGTAAAAAGATGGAGGTGGAGAAATGTAACCACTCAAATCATAGACACAGCTATGGATGTAAGGACTGACCTTCCATTTTATCAAAATTATACATTTTACCATGTTTTGAGGTTATACAGTGTTTGTTTACAATTACATATTTATTTTACAAACAATCGAGTAAACCAAGTTTATATTTTAGTCCTGATGGGGTATGACAGTCGAACTAAGCTCATTAGGTATTTATAAGTTATATTCTTTAAGAATCATTCAAAAAAATAAAATATTCAAAGTATTTTGCTATCACAGATTTAAGTAGTGAAGGAATCAAAGTGTGTGTGTTGCAGCTTGTGTGTTTACAGGTGTGTGTGTATCTATGATAATAATGAGCTATAAACTAGAAGTTAGTGCTTTTGTCATACCACATGCAAAAGGACAAAAACAACTTAAACAGCGTCCAAATAGAACACTGTAGTTAACTTCATAAGCATGAAGAGCCTTTAATATGTGCTTCTACATCTGCATTGCATGTTGATTCACAAACTTTTTGTTGTGAGTTTGCTCAACAAAATGTTTGTTAAGCAAACTCACAATGCTATGGCAGCCTTAGAAATGTATGTTGAATAAACATATATTATTTTTTTACAGTGCACACACACACCCCCAGACTGGCGTCGTCACATAGTAAAAGTATTCTCACAGAGGCATCCAAAAATGAAAACCCCTGAAGCAAGCTAACTCCAAAAATGAAATGTTTCCTTATAGACTGTAAAAAACAAGACCAATCCAATACTCAAAAAATTAACCTAACAAACATACAAATGTTGGATCTTAATTTGGTCACTCTTTTGTTGCTGAGAATTTTCCTGCACAGCAGGAAATGCAAACTTAGTGTTTTCAAGGTTTAAAAAGGCTTCTAAAGTTTGTAATTTCCACTTTAAAATGTCAGACTTTATTCACCCTAAAGAAAAATCTATCAACCCCTACAAAAAATTTCCATTATTTACAATCCACATAATAATAAATAATAACAACAATTCACATTTCCTGTTCCTGCATAATTATTTTCCTGCTGTAGGAAATTGGATCAAATAAAGATCCTATTTATGTACAGCCATGTACAGTGCATTCGGAAAAGTATACAGACCCCTTCACTTTTTCCACATTTTGTTACGTTACAACCTTTAATGACAAAGCAAAAACAGGTTATAATTTGTTTCAAATTTATACTAAATTAAAAACGGAAATATCACATTTACATAAGTATTCAGACCCTTTACTCAGTAATTTGTTGAAGCACATTTGGCAGCGATTACAACCTTGAGTCTTGGGTATGACGCTACAAGCTTGGCACACCTGTATTTGGGGAGTTTCTCCCATTCTTCTTTGCAGATCATCTCAAGCTCTGTTCTGTTGGGTTGGGAGCGTCGCTGCACAGCTATTTTCAGGTCTCTCCAGAGATGTTAGATCGGGTTCAAGTCCGGGCTGTGTACTGACATTCAGAGACTTGTCCCGAAGCCACTCCTGTGTTGTCTTGGCTGTGTGCTTAGGGCAGTTGTCCTGTTGGAAGGTGAACCTTCGCCCCAGTCTGAGGTCCTGAGCGCTCTGGAGCAGGTTTTCATCAAGGATCTCTCTGTACCTTGCTCCGTTCATCTTTCCCTCAATCCTGACTAGTCTCCCAGTCCCTGCCGCTGAAAAACAACCACACAGCATGATGCCGCCACCACCATGCTTCACCGTAGGGATGGCGCTGTCGTGCTTTTTACTGAGGAGTGGCTTCCGTCTGGCCACTCTACCATAAAGGCCTGATTGGTGGAGTGCTGCACAGATGGTTGTCCTTCTGAAAGGTTCTCCCATCTCCACAGAAGAACTCTGGAGCTCTGTCAGAGTGACCATCGGGTTCTTGGTCACCTCCCTGACCAAGGCCCTTCTCCCCCGATTGCTCAGATTGGCCGGGCGGCCAGCTCTAGGAAGAGTCTTGGTGGTTCCAAACTTCTTCCATTTCATAATGATGGAGGCCACTGTGTTCTTGGGAACCTTCAATGCTGCAGACATTTTTTGGTACCCTTCCCCAGATCTGTGCTTTGACACAATGCTGTCTCGGAGCTCTACGGACAATTCTTTCGACCTCATGGATTAGTTTTTGATCTGACATGCACTGTCATCTGTTGGACCTTATATAGACAGGTGTGTGCCTTTTCAAATCATGTCCAATCAATTGCATTTACCACAGGTGGACTCCAATCAAGTTGTAGAAACATCTCAAGGATGATCAACGGAAACAGGATGCACCTGAGCTCAATTTCGAGTCTCATAGCAAAGGGTCTGAATACTTATTTTTAATACACTTGCAAACATTTCTAAAAACATGCTTTTGCTTTCTCATTATGAGTTATTGTGTGTAGATTGATGAGGGGAAATGTTCATTTACTAAATTTTAGAATAAGGCTGTAACGTAACAAAATGTGCAAAAGGGGAAGGGGTCTGAATACTTTCTGAATGCACGGTATATGGATTATAGGGCTGGGAATTGCCAGGGACCTCACGATACGATGTTATCAACATACTTAGGTGCCAATACAATGTGTATTGCGATTCTCACGATTCTATATGTATTGTGATTCGATACTGTGATTTTATTGTGATTTGATGTTGTTTCAAACATATTGCTCACCATAACAAATTGCTCACCATTATATTGCAATAGTCAAAACGATACAATATCATTAAAAGAAATATCCCGACATGTAACTGTATCGATTTTTTCCCCCATCACTAATGGATTATACATACAGATGTAGGATCTTAAATTTGAGCCAGTTTGCTACAGCAGGAAAATAATCCTGCATCCACAGAACATTTGAATTATTATGTGGATTATAATTAATATACATTTTTGTAGGGGTTGATACATTTTTCATTAGGGCAAGTCAAGTCTGAAATGTCAAAGTGGAAATGACAAACTTTAGAAACCTTTATAAAACTTAAATACACTACAAGTTTGCATTTCCTGCTGTGCAGGAAAATTTGCAGCAACAAAAGAGTGATAAAACACACATGTGCATACACCCATGTACATTTGCACATACAACCTACTCCCTGTGAGTTCTTCCAGGGCTGCATTGGAGGGAGGGAGGGAGGGGAAAGAGAGATGAGGGAGGGGAAAGAGAAAGGGAGGAGGGGAGTGGAAGGGGCCCCTAGCTCCTTTGGCAGCTCATACATCAGAGTGAATAGAACCAATTATAAATCAAGAGAAATGTCTCCCTATTACTCAGCAGGAACCAGGAGAGCTCAGCCCAGCCCATCCTGCCTCCTCCAATGCTGCTGTCTCTAGGGGAGGAAAGGAGGGAGGGAGGGAGGGAGGGAGGGAGGACAGAGAAAGACAGACATTGAGAGATACATATAGAACAAGGCAACATTAAACATTGCGTCCCCCTTGAACGATCCAGTGCCCCTCTTGGGTCAATCAGTGTAATTTCTATGGCAAGACTCATCAGTCACCAAAGTTTCGTCAACATCGGGCCAGTGGTGTCTGAGATACAGTGGGGAGAACAAGTATTTGATACACTGCCGATTTTGCAGGTTTTCCTACTTACAAAGCATGTAGAGGTCTGTAATTTTTATCATAGGTACACTTCAACTGTGAGAGACGGAATCTAAAACAAAAATCCAGAAAATCACATTGTATGATTTTTATGTAATTAATTTGCATTTTATTGCATGACATAAGTATTTGATACATCAGAAAAGCAGAACTTAATATTTGGTACAGAAACTTTTGTTTGCAATTACAGAGATCATACATTTCCTGTAGGTCTTGACCAGGTTTGCACACACTGCAGCAGGGATTTTGGCCCACTCCTCCATACAGATCTTCTCCAGATCCTTCAGGTTTCGGGGCTGTTGCTGGGCAATACGGACTTTCAGCTCCCTCCAAAGATTTTCTATTGGGTTCAGGTCTGGAGACTGGCTAGGCCACGCCAGGACCTTGAGATGCTTCTTACGGAGCCACTCCTTAGTTGCCCTGGCTGTGTGTTTCGGGTCGTTGTCATGCTGGAAGACCCAGCAACGACCCATCTTCAATGTTCTTACTGAGGGAAGGAGGTTGTTGGCCAAGATCTCGCGATACATCCTCCCCTCAATACGGTGCAGTCGTCCTGTCCCCTTTGCAGAAAAGCATCCCCAAAGAATGATGTTTCCACCTCCATGCTTCACGGTTGGGATGGTGTTCTTGGGGTTGTACTCATCCTTCTTCTTCCTCCAAACACGGCGAGTGGAGTTCAGACCAAAAAGCTCTATTTTTGTCTCATCAGACCACATGACCTTCTCCCATTCCTCCTCTGGATCATCCAGATGGTCATTGGCAAACTTCAGACGGGCCTGGACATGCGCTGGCTTGAGCAGGGGGACCTTGTGTGTGCTGCAGGATTTTAATGCATGACGGCGTAGTGTGTTACTAATGGTTTTCTTTGAGACTGTGGTCCCAGCTCTCTTCAGGTCATTGACCAGGTCCTGCCGTGTAGTTCTGAGCTGATCCCTCACCTTCCTCATGATCATTGATGCCCCACGAGGTGAGATCTTGCATGGAGCCCCAGACCGAGGGTGATTGACCGTCATCTTGAACTTCTTCCATTTTCTAATAATTGCGCCAAGAGTTGTTGCCTTCTCACCAAGCTGCTTGCCTATTGTCCTGTAGCCCATCCCAGCCTTGTGCAGGTCTACAATTTTATCCCTGATGTCCTTACACAGCTCTCTGGTCTTGGCCATTGTAGAGGTTGGAGTCTGTTTGATTGAGTGTGTGGACAGGGGTCCTTTATACAGGTAACGAGTTCAAACAGGTGCAGTTAATACAGGTAATGAGTAGAGAACAGGAGAGCTTCTTAAAGAAAAACTAACAGATCTGTGAGAGCCGGAATTCTTACTGGTTGGTAGGTGATCAAATACTTATGTCATGCAATAAATTGCAAATTAATTACTTAAAAACCATAATGTGATTTTCTGGATTTTTGTTTTAGATTCCGTCACTCACAGTTGACGTGTACCTATGATAAAAATTACAGACCTCTACATGCTTTGTAAGTAGGAAAACCTGCAAAATCGGCAGTGTATCAAATACTTGTTCTCCCCACTGTATAGCCTGGGTTAGCTAGACTCATATCCCTGAGCATCTGTGCAAATGTCATCACTGAGTCAAATAGATCAAGAGATATAAACATGTGCCCGTTATAGCACTACCGTGAAGTCGATATGAATGTTCCTGCATATGTTAAATCTTGACAGTGTTTGCAACATGCGTACCAAATTTAGCAGCATCCTTCAACCAAGTTTTGTCAAAATCGGGCCAGTGCTATCTGAGATATCGCGTGTTACTAATGTAAGAACTAACGTATTAACGGACGGAGACAGATCCACAGTCCCTTCCCTGATTTCAACGTGGGGGACAACAAGGGGACATTTAGTACAGAGGAGATAGAATGGAGATATAAGAAACAGCCTTGGGAAAAATGGGAGAAAATGGAAAATCAGAGAGGAATGAGGGAGGGAGAAAATATAGGGCTATGGCATAGAGAAAAGAGAGAGATAGGGGTCATATGCAATAGAGAACTAGTAAAATGCTTATTACGTAATAATAAAGTTCAGGTTTGTGTTACCGTGTGTGTGTTTGTGTGTATATATATATATATATATATTGCCTTGGGCCCTAACTGCCACAGGAACATCTGAAGGGGGCTCATTTCAAAGGGATCTTTGAGTGTCACAAGCTGGATTACAGCTGTGTGTGCGAGACTCTCTGACAGACGTTATAGCACGGCCAGAGGAGTTCCATGTGTCCCGTCACTCAAACCATATTGATGTCATTCTGGACAAAAAGAGAAGCAGGCCAAAACGCAGGACTGCACATGTGCAGACAGACAATACACAGACCTGTGCCAATAGCAATAGACAAACTAACACAGGCAGAAGGTGGGGTAATCTGCACTGCAATAACTGTACAGCTCGCTGTCACAGCAGGACAAGATAACATCACTAAACTACTGTGCTGCTGTTCTCAGACCAGTTCTTCTGATTTATGCATGAAGCAACAGAAATAGACTAGTGGTATTATCCCAGACCAGGGAAAGTCGCCAGGCTCCATCCATCCAGTTAATAGATAGGTTTCCACATCTCTGGGAATAATGATGACATGTAGTCAAGAGAAATAGATTTGTTTGACCACCTTAGCCTATGGTAGTAGGACCCATAAACATCACCTCTCTTCCTGATCCTAACTGAAAAATCGTTGCGTGACAAAGTGCATGTCTTTTGAATCAGAGAACAAACTCAACAACCCCGGACCCTGAAATTCTACTGGCAGGGTTGGGTAGGTTACTTTCTAAATATAATTCGTTACAGTTACCTGTCCAAAATTGTAATCAGTAACGTAACTTTTGGATTACCCAAACTCATGAATGCAATCTGATTACTTTCCCCTTAAAAATGCATTAGAAGAAGACAAAAAGGATCCATCAAAAGCATTTGGTGTCATCATAGTGGTCTCTGATTGGTGGTCATCATTTGGTGTCATCATAGTGGTCTCTGATTGGTGGTCATCATAGTGGTCTCTGATAGGTGGTCATCATTTGGTGTCATCATAGTGGTCTCTGACTTGTGGTCAGACTCGCTCAGGTGGAACAAACTTAAACTTGCTCCTTTTTTCAATGCTGAATTGAATGTCATTGAGAAAACAGACAGGTGTCATAATGTATTTTTTCACAAACATCCTTTCTGAATTTAAATGTAATCCAAAAAGTAATCTAGTTTTTCAAAAGCATCTCTAATCAGATTACAATATTTTTGCTGGTAATGTAACTGATTACAGGTACAGTTTTTTTAAATAATCAGTTACTCCCTTTTCGATTACTGGACAGAGAAAAGTGACTCCTAGCCACAGAAACAACCAGAAATGCCAATAATAACCAATGAAAAAGAACTTTGCGCGTACTGAAGAGTAAGACATTGGTTGATCCCTCCCTAGAGCAGACATTCCACTGTCTGTCGTAAACAACAGTAACATTCCAAGAACTGTCCCAGAGAGTGATGGATCATTCAGTTATAACTTAGTCATAACACATTGGCACAAGATGACGTGCAAGAATGGAGGGAGAATAAATAATTGGGAACCAAAATAAGTTGATGGCTCTGTTCTCACAAACTGTTCAACAGTGTGTGTGAGTGAGTGAGTGAGTGAGTGAGTGAGAGAGAAGAGAAAGAGCGAGGGGGAGAGAGAGAGAGAAAGAAAGCGAGAGAGAAAGAGCGAAGGGGGGGAAGAGAGAGAGAGACAAACAGACAGAAACAGAGAGAGGGTAGTACTGTATGTGAGAGGTTTTTGTCAGTGTGCGGCTGTGCTAGGTGGTGTTCCTGTGTAAATGGTCTTTGAGAGGGTGTACAAATAGCTACTTAGCACACACTGCTTCCTTACTAGTATCTGTAGTTCATCAATGATCTAACAACACTATGCCAGTCTCTCACAAACAGCAGAGTGTGTGTCAACTCAAACATACGGGTGACTTCTACCTACTGTGTGAAACTAGTCAACTGAGTCAGGGCGGCAAGCTACTGGTGGATACTATGCAGTCGGCAGTACAAAACAGCAGCATGTAGTATGTACTGTATTATCACTGTGACAGGTTTCAAGTAAGATACTTTAAAATAGCAGTGAGATTCATTCAACACCTCTAAAAAAGGCCAAAATCACATCGATCCAGAACATCCATGGGATGATGATATAATGTGATCAAGTGTTAGGCAGATAGTAGAGATACAGAGCCAACATCTACACCTGTCGTGGAACTACTTCTCAAAGATATCTCTCAGACACTGGAGCTTGTGAGTTCAGAAGAGACTTTATTACAAAGTAACAAGCCGAGCTGGTCCGCTGAGCAACTGCCGGTCCCAGACTCGGAGATCTCTTTTTATACAGTTACATGATTGCATAACATTCATAGTCCCTTCTCTTTATGTTAATGACCAACATCCTCTAGCAGTTCGCCAATATTATCTCTTTATCCCGTTTACTCTCGTTCACACCCAATTCTGCTTTGGTTTCCCCTCCTTTCTGACACTAACCACTATATTGGTGGCGTGATTTCACCAGTTTCTTAAAAAATAATATAAGTACATATTTGTGAATTATTATAGGATTACAGTGCCTTGCAAAAGTATTCATCCCCCTTGGCGTTTTTCCTACTCTGTTGCATTACAACCTGTAATTTAAAATTGATTTTTATTTGGATTTCATGTAATGGACATACAGAAAATAGCCCAAATTGGTGAAGTGAAATAAAATAAAATAATAACGGAAAAGTGGTGCGTGCAAATGTATTCACCCCCTTTGCTATGAAGCCCCTAAATAAGATCTGGTGCAACCAATTACCTTCAGAAGTCACATAATTAGTTAAATAAAGTCCACCTGTGTGCAGTCTAAGTGTCACATGATCTCAGTATATATACACACACACCTGTTCTAAAAGGCCCCAGAGTCTGCAACACCACTAAGCAAGCAGCACCAAGCAAGCGGCACCATGAAGACCAAGGATCTCTCCAAACAGGTCAGGGACAAAGTTGTGGAGAAGTACAGATCAGGGTTGGGTTATAAAAAAATATCAGAAACTTTGAACATCCCACAGAGCACCATTAAATCCATTATTAAATGTTTTAAAAGAATATGGCACCACAACAAACCTGCCAAGAGAGGGCCGCCCACCAAAACTCACAGACCAGGCAAGGAGGGCATTAATCAGAGGCAACAAAGAGACCAAAGATAACCCTGAAGGAGCTGCAAAGCTCCACAGTGGAGATGGGAGTATCTGTCCATAGGACCACTTTAAGCTGTACACTCCACAGAGCTGGGCTTTACAGAAGAGTGGCCAGAAAAAAGCCCTTGCTTAAATAAATAAATAAGCAAACACGTTTGGTGTTCGCCAAAAGCCATGTGGGAAACTCCCCAAACATATAGAAGAAGGTACTCTGGTCAGATGAGACTAAAATTGAGCTTTTTGGCCATCAAGGAAAACGCTATGTCTGGCGCAAACCAAACACCTCTCATCACCCCGAGAACACCATCCCCACAGTGAAGCATGGTGGTGGCAGCATCATGCTGTGGGGATGTTTTTCCATCGGCAGGGACTGGGAAACTGGTCAGAATTGAATGATGGGCAAAAATCCCAGTGTTTTTTTTTGGTCTTATTTCTTGTTTGTTTAGCATGATGTGTAAATCAAATGATACAAACCCACAAAAAATCAATTTTAATTCCAGGTTGTAAGGCAACAAAATAGGAAAAATGCCAAGTGGTGAATACTTTGGCTAGCCACTGTATATAGCAAACTCCTTTAAACCCATAATTGTATATAATGATTATGTTTGCTGTCTTATATTCCACAATACATGCTATGGAAAAATACCTATACACCATCTACACCTTTCAAACTATGCTGACTTTTCACTCCTCCGTGGCTACCGCTCTCCTTTATATCTGTCCTCCCTTCCCTTTCTCTTTAACGCTTCCACCCGTCCCTCCTCCACAACTATTTTCTCCATCCCTCCCACCTCCATTCCTCTCTCCTCCACCTCCTTTCTCCAACACACCCTCCCTCCCTCTCTCCCACATCCCCTCTCCCCTTTTGTCCTGTGTGGGAGAGGCTGTGGAAGGCTAGTGAGGTATGCAAGGTCTGGCTGGGGAGGCAGGGCAGCTCGGAGCCCCAGGGGAGGGTACTGCACCCTGGCCACCTGCTGCTCCAGACTGGACACCTAAAACCTTCAGGACAAGAGCAACCTGACCCTACAACCCTAAAGCACAATATGTCAACTACACAGCCAGAACGCCCTGTATGGAAAACTACAGAGCAACAGGTATGAGCTCTGGGAGAATGTTCAACTAAGCTACAGCAACCAAACCTTCATAGTTGGCTATGTGTTTGTGTATAAAGCACTCTATTACACTACAACACTAGTATAACCACCTAATATGGAAAGACTCCATGTAATGACAGGTACACACACTCTAGCACAGCAGGGATGTGCAACTGGTCAATTTTCTTTCTGGAACTCAGTCGGGGTCTCAACTTACTGTTGAGAGATAGAATAGTAGAAAACACAAGGTGCAATTTCGAAAACTCAGTTGTGCATTAGCAGTTTTTATCTTGTTATGTCAGTCACTGACAGTCCAAAAAATGTAGATTGGTAAATGAGTCTAGCGGACAGATATCTAAACTTGTAGTAATCATGGTCGAATTACCGACCGGGGGCCCCCCATTGATTTTGTTTGTCAGTCTCACTCAGATACCATATAAAAAATTGCTAAAATTGCTCTCCACCCTATGGCAACGTGTAGAATTGCATGAAATGAACTCTAAACCTAAAATGTTTCACTTAGGTGGGGCCGGCTCTGACTGCATTTGTGGGTATGGATGTGAGTACGCAGACCCACAAGCCACTGCGGCCCCTCATTGATGAGTTATGATTTTTTTGTGGCCCCCACCCCCATCAAAGTTGCCCATCCCTGGCCTAAAGTCTCTCTCTTTCACACACACAGTCCACGCTATGAGTTATACACATCCTGTCCTACACTGTGATCCGACTTCAGTGGAACATGCAGGTCATCCTGAGAGGGAGATTTTCAAGACGAGAGTGACAAGCTGCACATTCCTGTGTAAAGACATCATCCTGATTGGAGAACCTCTCTACACACACACACAGAGTCAGGCCCGCAGATAGCTGCCTGCAGGCTGCTATGACTGCATGAGTGTACCCGCTGTAGCACAGATGAAAGCAAACACTCAGGAGGTTGTCTCTTCTTGCCAATTAACAGAAATGTTACACCCTCTAAGAAAACAATAAACCTTTGCACAGTCAGAACTTAAAAAGTCCCACATCCAGAATAAGAACTGAAGAACTACCCACCCAGAGTCATAGCCAGAACAAAAACTATCCAATCTATATCTATGGCATCAGAAGCAGAACAAGACACAGCAACCAGAACCTACTCAAGACAAAGCAACCAGAACCTACTCAGAGTAAGCACTAACCATGGACTCATAGCCAGTACAAGAGCTACCTTACCCAAAGTTATTATAGCCAGAACCAGACCTATCTAAGAAGACATATCCAGGCAGGGCGAGATCTATCCTAGCAAAGCTTCCCATGGACAGGTGAAGCCATACATTGGCTTGCGAAAGTATTCACCCCCTTGGCATTTTTCCTATTTTGTTGCCTTCAACCTGGAATTAAAATGGATTTTGGGGGGGCTTGTATCATTTGATTTACACAACATGCCTACCACTTTGAAGATGCAAATTATTTGTGTGTGTGAAACAAACAAGACAAAAAAACAGAAAACTTGAGCGTGCATAACTATTCACCCCCCCAAAGTCAATACTTTGTAGAGCCAACTTTTGCAGCAATTACAGCTGCAAGTCTCTCTATAAGCTTGGCACATCTAGCCACTGGGATTTTTGCCCATTCTTCAAGGCAAAACTGCTCCAGCTCCTTCAAGTTGGATGGGTTCCGCTGGTGTACAGCAATCTTTAAGTCATACCACAGATTCTCAATTGGATTGAGGTCTGGGCATTGACTAGGCCATTCCGAGACATTTAAATGTTTCCCCTTAAACACTCGAGTGTTGCTTTAGCAGTATGCTTAGGGTCATTGTACTGCTGGAAGGTGAACCTCCGTCCCAGTCTCAAATCTCTGGAAGACAAACAGGTTTCCCTCAAGTATTTCCCTGTATTTAGCACCATCCATCATTCCATCAATTCTGACCAGTTTCCCCAGTCCCTGTCGATGAAAAACATCCCCACAGCATGATGCTGCCACCACTATGCTTCACTGTGGGGATGGTGTTCTCAGGGTGATGAGAGGTGTTGGGGTTGCGCCAGACATAGCGTTTTCCTTGATGGCCAAAAAGCTAAATGTTAGTCTAATCTGACCAGAGTACCTTCTTCTGTATGTTTGGGGAGTCTCCCACATTAATTTTGGCGAACACCAAACGTGTTTGCTTGTTTTTCTTTAAGCAATGGCTTTTTTCTGGCCACTCTTCCGTAAAGCCCAGCTCTGTGGAGTGTACAGCTTAAAGTGGTCCTATGGACAGATACTCCCATCTCCACTGTGGAGCTTTGCAGCTCCTTCAGGGTTATCTTTGGTCTCTTTGTTGCCTCACTGATTAATGCCCTCCTTGCCTGGTCCGTGAGTTTTGGTGGGCGGCCCTCTCTTGGCAGGTTTGTTGTGGTGCCATATTCTTTAAATTTTTTAATAATGGATTTAATGGTGCTCCGTGGGATGTTCAAAGTTATGGATATTTTTTTATAACCCAACCCTGATCTGCACTCCATGGTGCCGCAGGCTCTGGGGCCTTTCAGAACAGGTGTATATATCCTGAGATCATGTGACAGATCATGTCACACTTACAGTGAGGAAAAAAAGTATTTGATCCCCTGCTGATTTTGTACGTTTGCCCACTGACAAAGAAATTATCAGTCTATAATTTTAATGGTAGGTTTATTTGAACAGTGAGAGACAAAATAACAACAAAAAAATCCAGAAAAACGCATGTCAAAACTGTTATAAATTGATTTGCATTTTAAATTAGGGAAATAAGTATTTGACCCCTCTGCAAAACATGACTTAGTACTTGGTGGCAAAACCCTTGTTGGCAATCACAGAGGTCAGATGTTTCTTGTAGTTGGCCACCAGGTTTGCACACATCTCAGGAGGGATTCTGTCCCACTCCTCTTTGCAGATCTTCTCCAAGTCATTAAGGTTTCGAGGCTGACGTTTGGCAACTCGAACCTTCAGCTCCTTCCACAGATTTTCTATGGGATTAAGGTCTGGTGACTGGCTAGGCCACTCCAGGACCTTAATGTGCTTCTTTTTGAGCCACTCCTTTGTTGCCTTGGCCGTGTGTTTTGGTTAATTGTCATGCTGGAATACCCATCCACGACCCATTTTCAATGCCCTGGCTGAGGGAAGGAGGTTCTCACCCAAGATTTGACGGTACATGGCCCCGTCCATCGTGCCTTTGATGCGGTGAAGTTGTCCTATCCCCTTAGCAGAAAAACACCCCCAAAGCATAATGTTTCCAACTCCATGTTTGACGGTGGGGAATGTGTTCTTGGGGTCATAGGCAGCATTCCTCCTCCAAACACAGCGAGTTGAGTTGATGCCAAAGAGCTCGATTTTGGTCTCATCTGACCACAACACTTTCACCCAGTTCTCCTCTGAATCATTCAGATGTTCATTGGCAAACTTCAGACGGGCATGTATTTGTGCTTTCTTGAGCAGGGGGACCTTGCGGGCGCTGCAAGATTTCAGTCCTTCACGGTGTAGTGTGTTACCAATTGTTTTCTTGGTGACTATGGTCCCAGCTGCCTTGAGATCATTGACATGATCCTCCTGTGTAGTTCTGGGCTGATTCCTCACCGTTCTCATGATCATTGCAACTCCACAAGGTGAGATCTTGCATGGAGCCCCAGGCCGAGGGAGATTGACAGTTATTTTGTGTTTCTTCCATTTGCAAATAATCGCACCAACTGTTGTCACCTTCTCACCAAGCTGCTTGGCTATGGTCTTGTAGCCCATTACAGCCTTGTGTAGGTCTACAATCTTGTCCATGACATCCTTGGAGAGCTCTTTGGTCTTGGCCATGGTGGAGAGTTTGGAATCTGATTGATTGATTGCTTCTGTGGACAGGTGTCTTTTATACAGGTAACAAGCTGAGATTAGGAGCACTCCCTTTAAGAGTGTGCTCCTAATCTCAGCTCGTTACCTGTATAAAAGACACCTGGGAGCCAGACATCTCTCTGATTGAGAGGGGGTGAAATACTTATTTCCCTCATTAAAATGCAAATCAATTTATAACATTTTTGACATGCGTTTTTCTGGATTTTGTTGTTGTTATTCTGTCTCTCACTGTTCAAATAAACCTACCATTACAATTATAGACTGATAATTTCTTTGTCAGTGGGCAAACGTACAAAATCAGCAGGGGATCAAATACTTTTTCCCTCACTGTAGATTGCACACAGGTGGACTTTATTTAACTAATTATGTGACTTCTGAAGGTAATTGGTTGCACCAGATCTTAATTAGGGGCTTCATAGCAAAGAGATGTGAATACATATGCACGCACCACTTTTCCGTTATTGATTTTTTTGAAAAGTTATTTTTTTCATTTCACTTTACCAATTTGGACTATTTCGTGTATGTCCAGTACATGAAATCCAAATAAAAATCCATTTAAATTACAGGTTGTAATGCAACAAAATAGGAAAAACGCCAAGGGGGATGAATACTTTTGCAAGACACTGTACCTACTGAGAGTGGAGCAAAACAATGTCAAACGTAATAACCCTACTAAGGCAACAACAATAAAGGACCTGTCATTTGTTTTTAACAACTCACAGTACTTCAAGGCCTGATGTTATCTTTCCAAAATAGGCATATGGACCAACCCTTGTCTTTAACCCTGTTGTTACCAACGAGTGGTTAATGTTGGGCTGGCATGGAAATGGAACGGTAAAATGTGTGCGTTCATCAGTGCATAGCTAATGGCTGCACATTAACTGCCACCAAATAAGGCCAGAAGACTTGGAAAGGAAAGAATCCCAGGCAGACTGGAATCAATTAGAGAATAGCTTTGATCCACCCGACCGCCGATGATCAACAACAAACTATACCACACCATAGCTACCAAACAAGATGTTCCTTATATTCAGACAGAGGCACAGGAATCAACGCCAAACATACATAGCCTC